TGCTTGCCAGGCAGGTGCTTACGTCACTGAACTAAAATTCCCAACTCCATGTTTTAAAAATTATGAAAAAAAAATTCTCAGGAAAAAATTTCATTAGCTCCTTAAAAAAAGAAATTCCATTTTAAATAAGAGACTTGGTAGGCCAGGTGTGGTAACACATACCTGTAAACCCAGCACTCAGAAAGCTGAGGCAGGAGGATCACCTCAAGTCTGAGGCCAACATGAGCTACATAGTGAGTCCAAGTCAGCCTGAACTACACAGTGAGATGCTATCTTAAAAAAAAAAAAAAAGGACAGTCTATCAAATAAATATTTTTAAATCTTTGGGAATTTATTTCTTTACTTGTTCTATTTTGTTCTTACTTTATAGTAATTTTCTTTTAGACAGGATCTCACTATGTAGTTCAGACTGACATTCAACTTACTATGTAGCACAGGCTGGCCTCGACCTCACAGTGATCCTTCTAGCTCAGCCTCCTGAGTGCTGGGATTACAGGTATGTGCCACCATGCCCTGCTCTTCATGGTAAAATGTTATAAGGATAGGTTAGCAACAAATTTGAATTTTGCCACAGTGATGGCATAAGCCCATAATCCTAGTACTCAGGAATCTGAGTTAGGAGAATTATGAGTTCAAGACCAGCCTGGGCAATGTTGGGACAGCCTATCTCAAAACAAACAAGCAAACAAACAAACAAAAACCCCTAAAAACAAATTTTAAAAGCCAGGTGTGGTGGCACATGCCTATAATCCCAGCAGTTGGGAGACCTTCCTTATCTCAAAAAGGGCCGCAGATGTAGATCAGTGAAAGACCATGGGTTCAATGCCTAGTGCTGCAAAAAACAGATAAAAAGGAAAAACATAGCAGGAGGGAGGGACAGGATGCTTATGATTGCCTGGCTCATGGCTAGCAACTGAAACTGAGTACTCAGTAAAACTGCTGGGGATTTGGCTCAACGGTAGGTATGTATAGGCAACTGCCGAAAAGTACAAGATCATGAGTTTGATTCGTGGTACTAAAAAAAAAAAAAAAAAAGAGTACTCAGTAAAATAAAGCAGTTTGTAATAACTAAATCTTGGAAACAGCCCAAATGCCCATCAATTGATGAATGAATAAAGACTGTGGTTTTTTTACAGTGTACACTACTCTGCCATAAAGCAGGAAAACTTGAGACATTTCCAACTAAATGGGTACACCTTGAGTACAGACTCTGAAGTGAAATAAATTGGACACACATGTTTAAATACCACACTGTTTCTCTAGTGTGAGAAACCAAAGGAGAAATTAGAATCAAAACATGTAATGGGTATGGGGAAATGGGAAGAAAATGTTTAAATGAGAAGGGGAACAAGGAAAGGGGAAAGGAAGAAGATATGATATAATTTTTGGTCCTAAATGTAAAGAATTCACAAAAATTCAAAATAACTAGATTTAAATTTTTATACATTTGAGTCTCATTAGATTCCTTCTGACAGATTTTACCTATAGATCTATACATTTCTAAAGAAGTTTTTTTGAGGGAGTAGGCATAGAACCCACACCCCACCTTTTTTTTTGACAGGGTGTTGTTGCCCACTTTAGGCTGGCCTTGAACTCACTATGGAACCCAGGCTGACCCCAAACTCATAGCGACCCTCCTGCCTCAGCCTCCCAAGTGCTAGGATCACAGGTATATGCCTTTACACCCATCAGAGGTGCCTTCAATTGGACATAAAGCGTTTTCCTGAAGCAGATCAATTCTTGTTTTGAGATAATCAAGATTATACGCATTTATCCCAGAAGGTGCCATAAACCCCTCAAAACCAGTAATTTTAATTTCTAAAATGTGTGTACACTGGGATTGAAGGCATAGCTATGTGGTAGCATAGGTCCTTAATATGGGCCAAACCCTACATTCAATCCCCAGCACACCAGAAAAAATTACAGTGTATATATTTGCATAACATCACACGTAATGTGCAAGAATGCAGAACTTGGAAGGAAATGAATAAACAAGCCTAAAATGTCCATTCAAAAAGGTTGTAAGAGCCAGGTGTGGCAGTTCATGCCTTTAATCCTAGCACTCAGGAGGCTAAGGCAGGAAAAGCACTGAGAATTTGAGACTAGCCTGGGTTACAAAGTGAACTCAAGGCAAGCCTAAACTGCATAGGGAAACCCTGTCTCAAAAAAAAAAAAAAAAACCATAAAAACAAAAACAAAAATCAACATCTTAAACAATAATCCAACAACCCTTTGGGAAGAAGCAATTATACCAGGCAGCTTTGGAGTCTATAGCAAGATCATGCAGACAGCGAAAAGCTGCTGGGCAGAGGCACAGTGGGGTTCTAACTCCAGCGGCCTGGCTCACAGAAGGCTCCCAAAAGGCACCAAGTGCTTTCAACCAACTGCACTAAGCTTACTTTCTATGACCTTCTCTAAGCATGGGTTGAACCCAATGCTCAGGAGGTTTAACTGACTATCAGCTTTTACTACACTCCTATGACATTAAACACTAATATTAGTTTTCTCATTAAAGGTAGTTACATTTTGTAGTTAAAATTTTTCTTTTTGTAACAAACAAAAGCAAGTATGCTCTAATGTGTGGCTTAATCTTAGTACAGAAGTCTGCAAAACAGAGTTTGAAAACCATTCTTCAGTGTGATGGTTCAAAAGAACAAGAAAACACAAAGCAGACTGGAATGGAACTTGGTGGTGGGTTTGATCTCCAGCACTGCCAGAAAACACACACACACACACACACACACACACACAGAAAACAACTTTTCATTCAGATATGTATTAAAAACAGTACTGCCCCACAAAAAAATTCTTACACAAGTATATATTAGAAGGTAGGTATGATGGAGCAAACCTATAATTCTAACACTTGGGAGGCTGAGACGAAAGGATCACCATGAATTCAAAGTCAGCCTGGGCTACGCAGTAAATCCAAGGCCACCCTGAATCATTCAAACAAATTGGTGTGGTGACACAACCTGTAATCCCAGCACTAGGGAAGCTGAGGCAGAGGATCACCACGAGTTTGAGGCCAGTCTGGCTACAAAGTGAGTTGAAGGCCAGCCTGTCTCAAAAAAATAAATACATAAATAAATAAATAAAGTCAAACAAGCAAACAAATAAAATAATGTATATAGGTATAGATATCTTAGATAACCTCGTGTATCTTATAGGAGTAAAAACTCAGCAATCTAGGGGCAAATAATTTCAAGTGGAGCTTTAACAAAAGAGAAAAAAAACTTTTGCAGATTAAATAGATAAAACTAAGATCTGTAAAAACTGCTTGTATTACAAATCAGAGTTTGGAAACACAGCTCTGCCCGTTCATTTAAACAGTGTTTCCAGCTGCTTTCGCAATGGCACAGTGTCAAGTAAGCTGTGACACAGTCCATTCACAATGACTAAAATACTCACCCTCATGATAAATGTTCATCAGCCCCATTTATTTTACAGCACTTACTATCTAGAACTACCTTATTTTTTGTTTAACTAATTATTGTCTGCCTCCCCTGTGAGAATGCACGCTTCATGAAGAAAAAAAGTTGTTCTCCACTGTATTCCTAGCATCTGTAACAGTGCATGTCACATGGAACGCATTCCATAAAGGTACTGAATGAACAGTATTTAATGAAAGGAAAAGAGAACAAGTCATTTCCTATCTCCCCATTCTATCTTACTCTCAAACTATTCAGCCTACCACTCTACCAGAATTGGGCTTCTCAACTGCCAACTGCATTCATCATGTTGATAAATCCAACAGGTAATCTTCCATCCTCACCTTACATGACCTATCAGTAGTATCTGATCCTTTGGTTAACTCTACAACCTTCTCCCCCTAAACATTTCTCGTGCCTTCCACAACGCCACACTCAGTTTTCCTCCTATGGCCCTTCCTTACTCTCTTTTTGTTTCTATGATCTTATTTCCCCAACCTCTTTGTTCTCTCCATTCCAGACATACAGGCCTTCATGACCACCAGAAATATGTTAATCAAGCCTCCATCTCAATCCCTCTATTTGGCCTCAAAGGCTTTTGTGGGGAATCAAATGAACTGGGCTTCCTGAATAAATCACATCTGTAAAATACTATCACCTAATTCTCAAAACAACCACAGGAGGGAGGTATAATTTCTCACTTCACAGATTAGGAAAGTGAGTTTCATGGCTCACTTAGCTAACAAATTATGGAGTTGAAGTTCAACTCATTTAGTCTACACAGAACATGAACTCTCAGTGAAGCTTTTGGGAGCCAAAAGGAGATGATTCAGTGATGGTCCTCTGAAGTTACAGTGACTCCAACAGCAGTTGAGAGTGAAGGACATGAGAAAGGACAGTGAGAAGAAAAGAACCATAAGCGGAAAGTTACTTAAGTTAAAAAACAGAAAATCTCAAGGAAAATGGAGGGGTGTCAAATGGAACTAGACATCCAAAAGTCCAAAAGTCTAGCACACGCCTCACAGTGACTACATCTGCGATAACGAGCAATACTGATTTTACCTTATTTTTTTAAAAAACACCTTTTTCTGCCCATACTAGACAGACATATCATCCTATTGGGTATCACAAATTGACTGTGGCAAGTTATGTGAAGTAGGCTGTAATTAGTAGGTTGGTTAAGCAACGCACTTTCACACTTGGGTTCACCCCCAGCCCAGTTTAGCAAAGTCTGTGAGCGCAGTGCAGGGGTCGGGGGGAAGAGGGGGGAGTTTGGGGAAGACACGACTGGCTTTAAACTCCAACAGGCAAAGAAAACTGCAATGCTTCTTTTGCCGACTCTCTCTGAGGCTATGAGACCAAAGCGGTGCCCAGGGCGCCAGGTGAGTGTCGGCCCTCACCCCCAAAATCTTCAGCAACTGTCTACGGTATAGTCCTCTAGATTCGCTCAGGACGGACTTCACCCACAGGGTCCTCCTCTCAGGCCCATCCCCCAGACACATCCAGGGGACAGCACCCAGGAAGCCCCCACACTCCGCTACGACCCGGGCGCGAAGACCCCCGCCTCACCACGGCTCCTGCCACGGCGTGGACCAAGCTTTCGTAGGACAGCACGGAGGCCATTGATGCGACTTCCGGCAGACTAGTCACACTTTCCTCACAGGCCGCAGCCAGCGGAGTTAGAAAAGAGGTCCGGGCAACCTGGCGTGAATACCACAAACCCCGCCCCCTCAGGCTGCCCCGCTTCCTCTTAGAGGAACCAGTTCCGGGTCGCGGGGAGCCTTCAGTAGCCTATCAGAGCCTCTACGGGGCCCGTACTGAGAGGAAATGGAACGCCCCCGGGCGCCGATTGGCCCCCGGGCGTGAGCGTAGCTGGGCATCGCGGTGCTCTGGGGCTACCCGACCTAGGGTGCCAAGCTGTTGTCTGTGGCATCAGTGCCAGTACTGCGGGTCTTGAGTGATAGTTTTGATATTCCGGAACCTCAGAAATTCTAAGGACTTTTCCCTACTTCCCTCCAACGGACGTGCTGGTTACAGCTAAAATGAGGGACTCCAAGGTTGTCTCCAGTCTCTTGTGCGACCTCACATTTCCTTCTATCCCCGTCCCAGCCCTAGGGGTGGTGGAAGCCAAGGCCTCCCGCTTGCCAGGCGAGCGCTGTACCGCAGAACTATATCCCCAACTCTTTTATTTTTGAGACAGTGTCTTAAGTGACTTTTATAAACAGCTAGGATTAACCTGTGCACTTACAAAAACTGAGGCAAGAATGTGATTAAAGTTGTAAATAATTTGATGGGTGTGAGGTTCAGCCAGTACTTAAAACCTGCCAACAGATGTAGCTAGCTGTATAACTGAAATACATCAATTCACTTGTCACTATAAAACCTGTCACTTTACACAGCTTGTCACCATAACAGCATTTTGACACTTAGAAAACAATTAGTCTCTATAGACTTGTCAACTTGTGTTTGCAGCTGTTCTCCAGTGCATCACCTTAGCTCCACTTTCAACAAAGTATTAAGATTCTCCTAAAGAGCACACACCCTAGCATTAGCTGTTCAGAGTAGCGGGGTCACTCCTATGAGAATCTAGGTGGCGAGAGCACAGGTAAGTGCTGGGCAGATGATCCTTCAACTGCACTTACTTATTGACTTTGGTTGAGTGTTGGGAACCCCACATATAGGCAATTTATGTATGTGGCTCAGTTTCCTCACCATTAAAATACTAACGTGGTGATAAAAACCTGGGCATGGTGGCACACACCTATAATCCCAGCACTCTGGACACTGAGGCAGGAGGATCCTTCGAGGTACAGACCTGCCTGGAATACAAAGGGAGCCACGGCCAGCATGAACTGCACAAATGAGGCCATTTCAAAAAAAAAGTGGTAAAGTATTTACCCTTACAGTGCCAGTATGGACAAAGGATTACAGCAGCGGCTGGTACAAGCAAGCACTGCTTCCTGATAAACCGTGCTGCTCAAGTATATTAAAGCCAGGTACAGTCCTAGCAAATTTTCTACCTTTACACTACAAAGCTAGTATGTCCTTGGGCGGCAGACTTTCAAGTTGATAACAAAGCCTGTCTTTTGGTCACATAGCCACACAGCTATTAACTATTTTTCATCTTTCCTAGTAGCTAAATATGGCATTAAAAGAAAGAAAATGTTAATTTTATCCTAGTTTCTGGATTTCAGCATGTTTCCCTGACTTCTCCAGCTTCTTCAGGCTGTTATGTGAGCAACCCCTTTGAACCCACAAACAGAAACTACTTGTCAAGCATGGTAGAACTACTTCTGGACACCTACTGGCTTAATTGCAGCTGCTTGAAAGGCTGAGGCAGCAAAATCACAAGTCTGAGGTTAAACTGGGCAATGTAGAAATACTGTAACATAAAGAAGGGCTGGTGATATATATATACAGGTTTGTGTTAAGATGAAGGCTGACCTACCATGTTATGAGGCACTGGGTGGAACACCTGGCAACCCCCTGCCTGCCAAAAAAAGCAAAGTGCAACCCTATACAAATTAGGAAAATTTTCAAACATTCTTGTTCACAGGCCTAACAATATATAGCTTACTATGCTCAACAACCAATTTCAGGTAAAATAGAACGAATGCTTACTCAAGGGGAGAGTCAATATTCAGTTTGAAACCATATTTTATTTTTAACGTGGCTAGAAATATCCAATGACTATATTTTTAAGCAGAAAATGCCTTTTCCTTTTCCTTCTTATAGCATCAGTAGCAAAAAAAAAACATTTGTTTTAGAAATGATATTGAATCTTTATGAAGACTGTGTTTTGTATTTAAGGAACTTTAAAATCTAGAAGCACAGGATACATTTTCAGAAGAGCAACTTCATGTTCACCCATTTATGGTAGTATCTGCGGTGTCAGCATATAGTTAGGTCATATATAGTAAGGAGTCCAGGAACAAAGGAGTTTTGAATTAAGCACAGCACACAACGAAATGTTCAAACAGCACACACATGAACAAAAAGAACACAGGCAAGCTCAACTCCAGTATTATATGGTGTTTCTAAAGATTGTGAAAGCATGCTCCATTAGCACACAGATTTCCTCATTTATGTGAGATGAATTTTTCTCTTTGTGTACAGCAAAGGGTTAGAACCAGAATAAACATGATTTCAGAAGTGTACTAATTTAGAAATGTACATTATGAAATTTATCATTTTCTTTACTCTTACAGGGAAAGGAGGGAGAGCAGGTGTTGGGGATGGTTTTTAGTACTTAAGAGCTGAAAAAGAAGAAATTCTTCATAGTGCCAACAACTCCATAGCAAATAACTGTGGCTTTCATCTTTTATAATTTATCTTTCATCAAGCAGTTACTTCCTGTATGTGTAGCAACTAATTCAAATTATATGCTCTTCAGAATACAAAGATGAGTACTTTAGGATACACTTTAACTACACATATGTATTTCTCAAGTTAAAGATCAAATGCCAGAGGGAATCCCTCCTTTCAATGTCTTGATATGACAAGATTTTTCCAGACTTAAGTATGACACTTAAATAAGCAATTTCAAGACCAAGGAAAGAAACCACAGCTGTTACAGGTATCACCTGACATGTATTATGTACTAAATTAAACCCAGCATTAAATATGCTTACACAATTATGCTGGGAATGGTCGTAACAATGACACTAGTGAAAAAAATATTACCTGTAGCTTCAGAAGATTAAAGGGGAAAATACAAGCAGAAAGCAAATAGAATTGGTCATTTTCTGATGAGGAAAGGTATTTCTGAGAAGATATACAAAAAGAAACATATTCCTATATTTTCCCTAGTGGAAATAATATGAAACATTTATTTGGTATTTTGGACAAGAACGGAGCTAAACAGCCCAATTCCACTGTGGCTTAGAAAAAAGATCACCCCTTCAGCACAGTGTACGATTTAACTGCAAACTGTACAAGGGTACATATTATATTAAACACTGTGTAAGACTGCTGCTGCCCTACCAGTACTTCCAGTCCTTAGCAAGATCAGATTCAAATACTGGTGGTCCCAATAGTTATACTGAAATAAATCATCTTAAAAAAAAAAAACGTTAAAAAGCCAAATCAAAATGCCTTAGTATCCATATATCCAACTCAAACTTTATCTTCCTAAATGAGATTTGCTACCCACACAAAAAAGACAACTTTATTCATTCATACTAAAGCCATAAATTTTCACACTGAAGTATCTTCCTTGCCCAGTAATTCAAAGGAAAAACCTAAAATGACTAATAAAAAAAAACTATAGGGGTTACTAGGCCCTTTGAATGTTTTAAATCTTTTTTTATGGTTTAGAAAGTGTTTAAAGTTTGTAATTCCTAGTAGGAAAACATTATCTGAATGAATCGCTAATGGTAAGCCATTGTAAAACACCTCAGCTCCATTTTGTGCAGAGGGGAAGGGATTATCTTTGAAGCACCCCAGCTCTCCTGATGAGGTCAGAGGTACACTGGTTTGTATTATTGCAAACATCCATTAAGTGATCTAGGTTGCTTTTCCTTGAGAAAGGGCTTTGTTAGATGAGCATTATGCTTGACCTCCAAATTTGGCTGACAATTTACTGATGAGATTCATAACCTTTGGATTACTCTGGTATTTTGACATATTTGCAGGATTCTGGGCCACATCCTGGAAGGCCACCATAACTTCTGGATCCTGCAAAGAAAGAATTTTTTTTTTAAGCATTTTAAAAGTCTCCCATTAAAAATAAAAGTGTTCTATTATATTGACAAGTTTAATATCCCAAAGCCCATCTCCTTAGCCTGATAATTTTGCCACAGTAAAATTAACTGGAGTTTAGACAGTCTGAAATACAACTGTTAATATGCACTTCTCAAAGTCAAATTCACTTGAACTAGATAATGAAATAAAGCACATTCAATACTACAAACTGGATATAATTACCAACTATTTTCTAAAAAAACCATTTTTAAAGACTTAATTTACTTTCTCCAAAAAGGAAATCAATGTTACCAACAAAATTAGATAAAAAGTGGCTAAGAAAGTGACCTCTGTCATAAAATAAATATGAAAGACAAGCCTGAATGGTTACAGTCCAACTCTCTTCTTCAGTCTTACCTGCATGGCTGCAAGGACCTCTGGATCACTGAGAATCTCATTGAGCCCAGGCATTCCTGCCATGCCTGCTCCCATTCCAGGCATCCCTCCTGGGAAATTACCAGGCATTCCCCCAGGAAAGCCACCTGTAAGAATAAAGGAAAGAATTGTATGGCACCGGTCATACTTCCAAGGTTTTTTTTTTTTTTTTTTTGGTCTGTGTATTTCAGGGTGGCCTAGAGGTTCACTACCTATCCCACATTGGCCTCGAACTGAAGGCAATTATCTTGCCTCAGCTTCCAAGTGCTGGGATTACAGACACATGTCACTACTCCTGGCATGAAATCAGCACTTATAACATGCACTCCTGGTAATTGTTCTTCACAGAAAACAAATCTCTAGCAAAAAGGATTTTCATTCCTTTGAGTTATTTTTAGATTATATTCCCACATTATCTGTTTCTTTGGTGCCATAAACTATATGTCCATTGGAAATATTCCGAAATCATTACTAAGCTAATAGAGGAACCCTTAAAAGGAAAAACAGGTAACAACATATTCTACAGAGTCAAGGCTACTACAAATAAAGTCATTAAAAAAAAAAAAAAAAAAAAAAAAACACATGTAACACTCATTCTAAGCAGCTCAGTGGGAATTCAAACATGGCCATAAATAATCACACATCAAGAAATCTAATGAGATTTGAAAATTTCTGGCCTCTCTTGTTGCCCATATTGATGCCAATGCTTTGAAAAATTACTTGTCAAGTACAAAAACCCCCCAAGTCCGAGTCCATATTAGTGATCATTTTCCAAACCAAAAGTGTCTACTATTTTACAAACATAATTATCTGAGCTAAAAGATTTTTGGTTTTTTTGGTATGGGGATAAACTCAAGACTGCGTGCATGCAGGCGTTTATGCCACTGAGCTAAATTCCTAGCCCCTTATTTTTTTTAAAAAAGTTACTGAGTATATACTCTTGAAGAATACAATTTACATTTTATAGCTTTGGACCAAATAACTAGTTAGTTCTAGCCAGTGGTATACAAGCATAAATGGCCTCTATTTAAAAAAAAAAAAAAAAAATTGTAGTTGACTGGTCTTGAACAGTATGTAGCCCAGGCTGACCCTGAACTTCAGAAATCCTAAAGCCCCAGACTCCCAAGTGCTAGAATTACAGATATACACCATGCCTGGCTACATATACTACCTAAGATTATATTTATGATTTTAGTCAGAGGCAAGACTTGAGAAGAAAAAAACATTTTCAGTGTCCTCTTGGTCTTGGTATAAATTTTCACTGCCTTGTTCAGGAAATATTCCATAATCATTTTGTCTGTCTATCTCTCTCTCCCTCTCTCTCTCACTTATACTTGCATGCTAGTCTCTTGGTACCATTCAAAGTTATGCCTTGTTAATAACTTCTCAACCCAACATTTGCAAGGAAGAGAAGAATGTATGTTTCATTCTGTAATTCAGGCTGGCCTTGAACTCACTGTGTCACGCAGGCCAGCCTCCAACTCAAGGTGATCCTCCTTCCTCAGCCTCCCAAGTGCTGTTATTACAGGCATGTACCACCATGCCCAGTTTAAGAATCTATTTTTGCTTTGTTGTTTTTTGAGACAGGGTCCCACTGTGTAGTGCAGGATGGCGTTGCTTACGTAGCTCAGGTTGGCCTCAAACTCACAGATCCTTCCACCTCAGTGAGTGCTGGGATTGCAGGTGTACACCACCACACTGAGCAGAATGTTACTATTATACTAGATTTGAAAAACTTTTTAGTGTATTTTACATGGTGTCTTCATGAATACTACTGTACAGAACATAATTCAAGGATGGCAACTCAAAGATAGGTAACATCATTAACAAATTAAAGTAAAATGTAGACTATTTAAAAAGTACACCTCCCAGACTGTGAGGAAAAAAGGACTATATTTCCATTAACATAAAAATTTTAGTAAGAATAAAACTCTATATGTTAACATTCTCAGTATTCCAAGAACAATGGAACTAAATATATTTAGCACATGAATCAATCTGTACAACACACATCTGAGCCTCCAAAATCAGAACATATCTTATTTAAAGTACTAATAGTTTTACTTTTTTCTTCAGATATACCTGGAAAAGAGCCATACTGAGCTCCTGATTGTCGTCTGGCTTCTTCCTCCTTTAAAACAAAAGGAAAATAAATTATTTAATGTGGTGCAGGGAAGTCTGTGCCTATCCCTAATTGTCCATTCAAATTCTTAAAAAAGTACATCAGGCTAAAGGATATAGTCTAAACCCACTTCAAAAGTTTCCTTCCTTCCGTCTCTCTCTTCTTTCTTGATAGCTCAGGTTGACCTCACTCCGGCCATGGCCTCCCAAGGGCTGGGATTAGAGATGTGTACCACTTTGCCCAAATCAATTGCCAGCCTCAGTATCTTTAATAGCTATGAATCCACTGTTTTAACTGAAGGAATCCAAAACCATTCTTAAAACATCCTCAAAATCCCCCACTTAACAATATTCCCAAACTGAAGCATTTGGCCAGGCAAGAATTCTCACTTAAAATTGATTTTCAATACTACGGATAAAACCTATTAGCTCTTAAGTGATAGGCAAATGCTCTACTACACAGGTATAGCCCCTTCCCAAATCTGATTTTAGAGAAACATTAAAACAATATAAACTTTGTGAAATACAAGCTCACTTAAAAATTTAAAGACTGGGCTGGGGATTTAGCTCAGCGGCATAAGCACCTGCTTTGCAAGCAGGCAGTCGTGAGTTCGATCCCTGGTACCGATAAAAACGAAAAAGACAAAAAAAAAAAAAAAATTTAAAGACTAACGTATCACCACAAATAAAACACATAGACTACTTTTAGGTAGTGTCAACCTATAGATTACATAAAGAACCTTGGAATCAGAATTCTACCCTAAAGCCCTGATCTACTTTAACACCCTTTCATGGGTTACAGAAACTTTACCCTCTGGTGGGCTAGAGATGTAGCTTAGTACAGTGTACTACTTAAATGCACAAGGTCCTGAGTCTAATCTCCAGCATCACAAATAGGAAGGAAGGAAGGGGAGGGAGGGGACAAACAGGGTGGGTAAGTGGGAGGTTGGGACAGATAGACATTACCCTCTGGGCCTTCTCATGCTCTTCTCGAGCCTTCTTAACCCTTTCTATTCTTTCTTTGATCTCTCGTTCTTCACGTTTTCGCTCATACTTCCTTCGATGTTCAGCAATTTTCTGGGCCTAGGACAAAAACAGTCATAGAAAGTAAGTCATTCCAAATACACTACTGTAGTAGATAAAGTCAATACGACAGTTACTTTTCTTTGAGGGGAGTTTATTCACTATGTAGTTATTTAAAAAAAAAAAAAAAAGACAAATTCATATCAACAGAAAAAGACCTAAGAACAAACTGAGCTTTAACAAGACTATAAAGTATACAAGACACTGTGAAATACAGAAAGAGACAGGGACGTACACTTATAAATGTCATATTCAGCCAGGTATGGTGACACAAACCTGTAATGCCAGCACTTAGAAGGCCGAGACAAGAGGATTGCTAGATGTTAGAGGCTAGCCTGAACTGCATAGCAAAATCTTGTCTCAAAAAAAAAAAAAGTTACACTGTTAAACAACTGTCTCAGCTCAAGGACAAGACATAGGCTCTTAACTGCAGATTTTTTTTTTTTTTTTTTTAAGATAAGATATCATTCTAGTCCAGCCTGGCTCTGAACTCACTATGTAGCCTAGCAAAGCCTCAAACTCAGTTATCTCCTTGCCTCAGGATTCCAAGTACTAAGATTATAAGAATGCACCACCATGCCTAACCAGCAGGACAACTGATTTTTTTCTCTTCTAGACAGGGTTTCAGTGTGTAGTTCAGGATGGCCTTGAACTCACAGCAATTCTCCTGCTTCCTGAGTACATGTATGTGCCACCACACCCAGCTTGGAGAATAATTCTTGCTTTGTAGTTTCTACCAACTGCTCAGTATTAGAAATTCAGAAATTACAGTCAGTCAGTAGTGAAAACTATCATTAGTGATATATGCCATGGGAAGGCAGACTGGAAACACATACCAAGTGTTTGCAGTTTAAAGTTCCTCATCTATAAAATGGAGGAAGAGGCCAAAAACCTTTAAGCTTGAGACTAGGAATGCAGTTCAGCAATAGAGAGCTTGCCTAGCATTCAGAAGCCCCTGAACTGAATCCCAACACTGGGGAAAAAAAAAAAAACCATACAACCTTGGCTGTAATTTCTTACAATTTTTATCTCCCACAAAGCTGAAGCACACAAATGCATTAGAATTATTTTAACAATTCTAAACAGAATCATAATCCTTTTAGAACATTCCAGATCAGTGGTGAAAAATCTATGGTACTGGCACACATCTGTAATTCCAGCACTTGAGAGGCTGAGGCAAGAGGATTGCTTCAAATTTGAAACCAGCCTAGGCTACAAAATGATCTTGAAGCCAGCCTAATTTGCAATGAGACTGTCTCAAAAAGACAAAAATCAAAACAACAAAAAAGAACCTATGGCATACATGTTACTCTTTTAAGATAAAAGATGTTAATATAAAAGGTATTTTTTCTAAATTAAAACCTCTGTACTGTGTTCAGGTTTAACTGCAGTGCTGGCACTGTAGAATAAATGAGTTTTAAGTCACAGTTTACTCTTGGTCTATAAAAAGTTCAGAGTCGCTTTCCAGGATTTGGATTCGATATTCTTCTGTGTATGTATGTATGTTTTGGTTGAGACAAGGTCTACAATGCAGCTCAGAATGACCCTGACCCCACAGCAAAACTCTTGCCTCAGTATTCCAAATGCTGGGATTACAGGTGTGTGACATCATGCCTGGCTCATATTCTCCTTTTAAAAAGGATAAATCTTTTTTTGTTTTTTTTTGGAGGGGGGGGTCCTATATATTTTGAGACAGGGTTTCACTGTGCAATTCAGGCTGGCCTCAAACTCATAGTGATCCTCCCACCTCAACTTCTTGATCCTTCTGCTTCAAGTTCTAGGAGTGCTGGAACTAAAGGTGTGCAACCACCACACTTGGACTGCATCTTTTGAACTTTAAGAAGGTCCTAATGCTTTGTTAAAGTGGCTGTACTGTGTACACCTATGGTACAGAAAGTCAAAACAGATGCAATCCTGTATCACATTTTGTAAATTTTCTAACTTTAGTTTAGTCTTGCCTACATGAGCATGTTTTGTAGATTTTTCTAGTTCCTCTGAAACCTGCCTTTTCCATTTCTGATACTGTAGTTTTACTTCCACTGTATTTCTGCAAACAAAGTAATAGAGCTTGCTTTAAAACAGCAAAACAAGCAAAAACATAAAAAAGTATTGAGATTTTAAGAGAACAGAGGTTCGGTGATTAGAACTTGCATCTATTTAAATTAAATTATGGCTGCCAGGGCCTAAGTACTTCAGCCATCACTTTCCTATTCTCCACATGAACGTACCCTTGGCTGAACTTCTTTCAGCATTGCACTTGCATCCTCATCATAATCCAGCTTACAAGCAAGGGCAAGATCATGGGCTGCTTCTTCCCAATGGCCCAGAAGTCTGAAACAGATATAAACTCATTATAAAAGTATTTTACATATTCATTCTAGTAACATGATGTCTTTCTTCCGATTAAAAAAAGTACCATGCTAGACACTGAGTTACATATCAATAAAATTTCATCAACCAACTCAATACTGTGTTACTGTGTTGCTTAAATCTATAAAGACTTGAAAGAGTTTATAAATTTCTTCTAAAGCAACTCAGAAGTTGCTCTCGTATTTAAAAAACTGTTTAAAAGATAAAATTTAAGCCATGCATTGTGGCACAGGCCTGTTATTCCTGCACTTGGGAGGCTAGGTAGGCTAGAATAGAAGGACCCTATCTCAAAAAACATAAACAACTTTAACTCAGATTAAAACATCAAAGTTTTTTTTTTCTTTCTTTCTTTTTTTTTTTTTTTTTGAGACAACGTCTCACTATGTAGAGTTCAGGCAGGTCTCCAACTCACAGCTATCTTTCTGCCTCAGTGTGCCAAGCAATGGCATTATAGGCACGCACCACCACACCTTGGGATTTCAACTCACCAATAAGATTAACATATTTACTCAAATGTTAATTTTCTATGTAATCAGAAGGAAACAAAAAAAAAAAAAAAAAAAAATGTGCCACGTGTGCCACTGTATAGGGGGAGGAATCATAAAGAAGAATGGCAGAGGCAGGTAAGAATGGGATGCACGTGATGGTGATGCAAATAAAAGGAGTTCTCTGGGTATACTTTTTAATTTAATTTTGCCTCTTCAAACAATGAAATTAAATGATAGCTCATTCAAACAACAATAAAAGTAGATTAGAAGACATAAATAAACCACAAACAAACATAAAACAGAGATAAAAAGATAACTGTACCACAAGGACAATAAATAGAAATGGATTCATTTAACTTGTTAAGTTCTTTTAACTATGTTCTAAGGATGAGAACCAAAAAAAAAAAAAAAAAAAAAAAAAGAAAGCAAACCTTAAAATAGAAGTTTCATTCATCATTCATACGATAGAAGTATGCAAATAAGTATTAAGGTCAAAGATCTCTGCCTACATGAGAAGTGTGAAAAGCACAAAATAAATGACAAAAACGAAAAAATCAAATGCTAAATTTTAATTAAAAATATCAACCCAAGTTCAGATTCATGAATTTTTTTCATTAAAATTATAGTTTGAAAGAAGTTTTTGCCTAGTACTGTTCACTGGAATGACAACAACAACATACCATGAATATACCCTGTTCCCCAAATCTTAGTTTTCACTAAAACAAATAATGGCTTCTTTTGCCACCATAGGCAAAGTTCAAGTGAGGTTATCTTACACCAAAAAAGCACACTCGAAGACTAGTGCAAACTCAAAAGGCTGAATTAAAACACAGAGCTTTTCCTATCCCACACAGCATTATTAAGTTTTATTTAAACTTTTTACCTTTCTCTTTAACATGTCTTTATAAAAATCACTAGTTATTTGAGTCACCTAATACCCAAAGAATGTCGACCTTCATCTCCACCCACACCTGAAGTTTTCAACTGATGCAAGACACAAATTTCGCCAATACTAAGAACTGAGGATCTAGAGTTCACTGCCTGCTTCTTGGGTTCAGTCACCAGTAATGAAAAACAAAACACCATCTGGAAGTGCCTATAATGCCAGCACTCCAGCAGGCTAAGACAAAAGATCACAAATCTGACTCCCAGGAGTCAAACTTCCAGTATCTTTTCTCAAAATAAAAAGGCTCTGGGGTCAATCCCAGTACCTAAATAAATGGTAATAAGTCAGTAAAAATACACTTAAAAGAGTTCTGAAAATAACTAAACTCCACTAATTTACCTGTGTGCTTTCCCTCGCCACTTGTATGGTTGGGCTGAATCAGGATTTATTTCAATGGCTCTGTCACAATCTCGAATGGCAGCATTTGGCTTTTGCAATTTGATGAAGACACTAAAAAAAATAACTGATATTAAAAAATATCCCTTTTATCCTTTGTTCCCCCCCCCCCTGGTACCAGGGATCAAACTCATGACCTTGTGCTTGCCAAGGCAGGCACTTATGCCACTGAGCTAAATCCCCAGCCCCCAAAATACGCATTTCAAGCAGTAAGAACTTTGGAATTCCAATAAAACAAATGAGCCAAAATTATTCACCAGGCAGTGCACTTTTCTATTTATAGAGTTCTCACCTGGCTCTCTTGGCATACAGAATGGCCAAGCGAGGATTCAGCTTGATGGCATCTGTGAACAAGTCAATGGCTTTCTGTAGTTCCCCTGAAGTGAAATAAAAGTTACTGAGAAATATTTAGAGTATAAAAATATTAAAATGTTTTATCCAATTAAGTCTTTTACAATCTTCTTTAAATCCAGTAAAAGAGGAACAGCACCAGGAAGGAGTAAGTTTATAGCTCAGTGGTAGAATACTTGCTAAGCATGTGAGAAGCCCTCAGCTGGATCCTCAGAATCCGGGGGGGAAAAAAAAACCCAGATGTGGTCATGCGCACTCTGGGAGGATCACCAGTTCCACCTCAGCCTGTTCAACTAAGCAAGACCAAAACAAAACACCAAAAACAAAAACCTGAACTCAAATACCCATCAAAGCTAAGTCCCCATCTCTATCTTCAACCAAATAAAACCTTCGTTCAGATTAGCTACTTCAAGAGTTGGCAAAGTTTCTGAAAGAGCCATGTAATAATTATTTTACACTTGGCAGACCATATAATTTGTCATAACTACTCAAAGATGCAACTGTCATGGAAAAGCAGCCCACAGTCAAGTGCTGGACCTGGAATCAAACTCCAGTGTGCAGTCTAATCTTTTTAACTATAGTCCTGCCTCTACAAGTAAAAATGCCTTTTACTCAAGGTGGGGCTTGAGTTCACAATCTCTGGCTTACAGTGCTTGTTTTATCACTTAGGAGATACTGTAAAAACTGTACAAATTCTAAAATTATAACTAGATCAAATTTACACATGAATAAAGATTTTGGAAATACTGCAAAACAAAAACATGACTTATTAGGTGGTAACTTCATTGTTAAATGCCTATAACACAAGTATTTAAATAAAAGTATTTAAGTAAAAAAATTAATTAAATAAAAAATTAAATTTAAAAAAGACAATATGCCCTAACTGACAAAAATATAAATGAGGTAACAATAAGGAACCTAGACAAGTCACAACCTTGTAAAATTCCATGCTTTCAAACTACAAATTGGTTTGTATGAGGTTCTAATGAAATAATGTACACTAAAACATTAAACCGTCAGGAACGCAAGGCATTAAACAAACGATGAATAAACAGTATTCTCAGGTGGTAGGGAAAATAAGCTTATTACAGAAAATGATTGGTTAGGAAGAGTAGTAACTGGGAATGTGATGAATCTGAATTCAAGTTAAGAAAAGAGCCAAAGTACATTCTAAGTAGACAAGCACAAGTAAAGAAACATCCTAAGACAGTGAAGTCTAACAAGAATGGAAGGTTAATATTTAAAGAGAGAAAACTAAGATGGGAAGGTAAAATATGGATATGACTAGTAGGCTGACGTGTGGTAATTGTAAATAAAGATCTTCAAAATGTATATAACAAATCATTACAGACTACAATAAAGTAATATATAAAGCAGTTCTTACTATGAATAATCTAGAGTGAACAGAAAGCAATAAAGAAAACAAGCATTTCAGGTAGGCAAACTGTTAATGCGATGGCAACAAAAACAGTGTTAAGCATATGATAAGAACCTAAACTAAGATGGTAGTACGATTACAAAAAAAAAGTGAATGTGTTTGCCAACTTGGACAGCAATACTGAACTCATTCTAGAATAAACTTCTATCTTCTAAATCCATTATGCATGAAGTTCAAATGCAAATCAGCTTTGTGATGGCATCTATTTAACTGCAGCTCTGTGACACTGTAGTCACACCACTACGCGCAGATTCCCATTAAATAACACTGGTAGTAGATAACAGCACCTGAGTTTATAATGGCTTATAAATTAGAACTGAATAAACACAATATGTTACACTAATAATCCTCTCATTCTGACAGAACTTTCTGAAGATCTAACATAGAATAGAACGTGTCAAGAAATGACACCTGTCAACAGTGTTACAATTCCAAGGTCATCATTCATCTTTGGAAAGTCGGTCATTTAACGGTCTCAGTGGACTTAACACCAGCAACACCCTCAGGAAAGCAGAGGTTGTGAATTCTACCAGGAGCTGTCTGAGCTTCAAGAAAAGGTTACTGAAACTCAGAGACTTCAACCTCTTTATCTCTGCTACAATATACCCAAATAATAAATTTAAGTTTCCTTCAACTTTCCCACTACAAACAATCACTGGTGTAGAAAACATTCATACTATATAGGTATGTAGCAAGGAGAAAAAATTACCATCATTTAGAGCATCAATGGCAGCCCCTTTCTTTTCATTTGCCTGATCCATCATCTCCTCAGTTATCTGACAAGAAACAAAGAGTTATCTTAGAAACAGCAGAAGAAATGGGGAAAATAAAAAGAATCAAGACATATCATGTACAGGTACAAATTCCTTATGATGAATATGATCCTTATGTATATGAGCTTGAACTTTTTATACTAAACAAATTGTACCGTCTTCCCTCTGATCTTGATGATCTCTACTTTGCTCCATCTCCACCCAAGCATGTTGTTCTGTTGCAGTTTGTAGTTTTAACCACCTTCCTCATAGCTGTCCATAAATAAACTCAATCTCCTCACAAAGACGTCAACTAATTCCTTTTAAGTTTGACTCCTTAGAAGAGAAAGGTCTCATTCCTTTATTTCCATAAAACTCAACTGAGCACAAACAAGATGTTGACAGCACAGGGGTTCTTGGAAGAAAAGTTTACAGCAAGCATCTTGTCTGAAATAAGAAGTTCAGAAGCAGTTCCTTTGACTATACCCACTTTAGCATCATTACTGTGTAAAACAGTTAAGTGGAAAGGCTGGACAAATGATGAAGAGAATGAGTTGATAGGTTTAAGAAATGGAAGGAAAGATACAAACTATCTAGAAAATCCAATGCACCTTTCAAGTTACTAGATCTAACAAAAGAACTCAATAAAGTCAGGTACAGGAGTAACATACAAAAAGACAAAAATCAGAACTCCTAGTTACATGGAGCACTGCGTGCGTACAATCTCAGCACTGTGAGAGGCTGAGGCAGGAGGATTGGAAATTCAAGCCTAAATTGGGCAATTTGGCAAGACCCTGTCTCAAAAGAACAGGACTGAGGATGTAGTTTGGCATGCACACCCACCCACTCATATCCCTCCCCCCACGAAGTTAGCTACACTAGAAACTAAGCCTATTCAGCACAGTTTCTAACATTATATAAGATCTGCATGGAATAAAAACCTAAAATTCTACTGAACAAAAAAAAAAAGACTTCAAGAAACTTTGATATATAACATGTTCTAGAAAGAAAATCACTGCATCTCAATGTTACTTCTAAGTTATTTAATAAATGCAAGCAATCTCAACAAAACTCCTTTGAAAACATTTTTTTGGTATCAGCGATCAAACTCATGACCTTTCACTTGCCAGGCAAGTGCTTGTGCCCCTGAGCTAAGCCCCTGGTCCTCCTCTGACAAATTTTTTTTTAAAAAACTTTTAAAGAAAAAAATATATTGCCAGCTAGTAAGACACTCTATTCAAGGCTACAGTAATTCTAGAAAACTACTGAAACACAAAAGACCTAGCCAGGGTGTGGTGCTGCATAACTATAATCCTAGTACTTGAGAGCACTGAGTTGGGAAGATCATTGAGAGTTCGAGGCCAGCCTCAATCTCACAAGGAAATCATCTCAAAACAAACAAATGAAGACTTCTGCTTCAGTAGTGTGGCATACATCAATAGTGGCAAACTTTTGGCATATGTGTTATTATGTTTTTAAGACAGAAGCCATTAACGTAGAGTTGGTTTTTCTACACTGAAACCTCAATATTCAGGCAATTTTAGCACTTTGTGATAAATAAGTGGGTTTTGTTGACTTGGGTCTCCTATGTTGTCTAGTTCGACCTCAAACTTGTGGCAATCTTCCTGCCTCAGCCTCCTGAGTGCTGGGATTATAGGTATACACTGTCCCACCCAGCAAAAAGTGGGTCTTGGGTTGCAGATTGGCACTTGGTCTCTTAGCAGGTTTACCATCACTGGTATGTATGATCCACTGAACAAATCTAAAAACAACCAAGCCATCTTTGCTCTGTCAGTACAGATAAAGAATGAATGAAGGCTAAAATTCAGTAAGGTAACCAAGTGTTCACTCTGCTTTCATCCCGTTAGCAGTATTCAAATCTAGCATCTTGGGCTGGGGATTTAGCTCAGTGGCATAAGCACCTGCCTGGCAAGTGTGCGGTGGTAAATTCAATCCCCACTATCAAACAAACAAACACAAAAACCCTAGCATCTTACAATTTTGTTTTTGAGGAAAATGCAGGACACTGGAGATAAAGTATAGATTCAGATGAAAATAACGTAATCAGGCACTGCCAGAATAAGTCTGTGCTCCAAATGTCTACACAGGCAAACGTAAGTATAAATTAAAAATAAACTATCCCACACAAAAGGTCAGTCAAATGCAGAAGAGGGAAATAAAAAAACACTCTCCTGAAAACTTCAAAACCATGAGCCAGCCTGTTCATTAGCAAAGCCACATTCAAATGAACACACAAAAATATCATGCTGACAATAAATAGGCCCTTGAGCTAATAGTGCCAATGGTGAGTTTTGTTTAAAGCAAAGATACTCCTTTTTGGAAGAATCTACCTTCTAATCAAATCTCAAAAACTTTCCTCAGGTGAAATTCGAAAGAACACATTATCGAAAAAATTTCATACATATGTACATACACAAGATACCAATATGGGAAAGAGCCACGAAAAAATGCAAAGTTTGAAAATGAGTAAAGAGCAACAGACTTTCAAATAACCAAGACTTCAACCAAAAATACCAAAATGAAAACCACAAACATTCCAATATCAATTCAACAAAATAGACAGACCTAGCACAAAGTAGTATGATAAACAGATAAAAGCTTAATGGTGAAAAGGGCTGACATGTATATGTCTAACAGGGCTCCAGACTAAGAGAATGGGAAAGACAGATGCAAGGTTTGAAAGGTACTAGAAGAAAGTGCTCCAGCACTAAAGAATGCTATAACCCTAGAATTTCAGATGCTCAACAAATCCCACTTAGAATAATTATTACAAACCTACACACACTGATATTGAAACATAAGCATACATTTTCTAGATAGCTCATGTCAACTTGAGATTATATTGCCCAACTTGTTTTGGGTTTTGCAATTAATTCTAATGCAGCCAGGAGATGGATCTAATTTTAGAGAAAAGGAGACTTAACAATCAGGTCCTAAATTTTTTAGGGAAATACAAAACACCAATGATAGCACCCAAAAGAGCCATATATAGAAACAGTAGTACTATTTCAGCACTGGTGAGGAAAAAATTCTTCAATAATGGTACTGCAGGGTGGGTGTGGTAGCTGTAACCCCAGCACGTAGGAAGCTGACACGAAGATCACCATGAGTTTTGAAGCCAATCTGGGCTACATAATGAGTTTAAGGTCTGGCTGAATTAGATAGTGAGACCCTGTCACTCCCCCCCTCCAAAGTGCTGCAAAGTAAATTACATGTGAAAAGCAAACAAAATTTTAAGAAGGGAAAAACAACTTACTACAGCAATTACATCCTTCAGTAACAAACAAAAGCATAAGCTAACAATTTCACTACATTAGATATTGTTTAAAAAAAGACATTGTTCATTAAGACAACATAAGAAAGGGAAAAGCCAGATACAGAGAGCCATAAATAGAGATAACAAATTGCTAGGGTCCAAAGTAGTAAAATGAACTAGAAATAAAAAAAAAAAAAAAAAAAAAACAGGCAACGTAGTACAAAAACTGAGGAAAACACTTTACAAATGCATGTGAATAACCAAGATATCAGAATATGTTCAAACTCTTTAAAATCAAGCAGTGCAAATGAAAAACTGAGAACATAATTACTTCATACAAGGCTGACAAAAATGAAAGCTGATGGTATCAAGTGTAGAGAACACCAGTAAATCTTTTAAGTTGCTACTATGATTAGTTTTCTAAACCTCTTTTCCTTATCAGTCACAAAATCTTTTTAGACATTTTTAATTTCCATTTCCCTATTTAAAACCATATATAAGGCACGTATGTGTCAACAGGCTATGACTCTGGAGAACCACTAACTACTATTGTATTCCCAAGTCCAGGCTCTCAAGGACAAACTTCCACCCTTTTAAAGGCCTTTTGTGGCAACCATTTTGGAAGACAATGTGTTATCAGATACCCTGTTAGGAGACAATTTTACTTGTAGGTATATACTTTAGGTTAACAGTCTAACTAAAGTGAAATTTAAGAGTACGTAAAGCAAATACAAACAGATTTCGTAAGATACTACTATAGAATACGGTTAAAAATTAAATGGGAGCTGGGGGTGGTGGCATTTGCCTATAATCCTAGAGAGGCTGAGGCAGGAGTATCACTGCAAGTTCAAGGCCAGCCGGGGCTACAAAGTGAGTTCAAGGCTGTCCTGAACTACACAGTAAAATCCTGTCTCAAAAATAAATAAATACATCAGAACTTTCACAAATATCTTAGCAAAATAAAATGGCTAAATGTCCCAAATCAGAAAAAGATTTAACAAGTGCTTTCCTTACAAGAATTATGTCATAAAATAATTCCAAAAGCAAGGAGATTCATATGCCTTACAACAATCAGAAAACATGTCACTGAACTTACCTCTACATTTTCATCTCCCATTTCTTGAGGGCTATCAGTGTCCGGTTCAATTACACCTTCATTGTCAATCTCTGCCAAAATTGAGAACATAATAGTAAGACCTGTGTTGGACAATATAGTAGCCACTACAAAAGTACATCAAACTATCATAAATGCCTTTCTCCTTGGTTTGCGAGAGAGGGTCTTGCTACTTTAAGTAGTCCAGGCTGGCCGTGAACTTGCTATGTCGTGGAGGTTGACTCTGAATTTGCAAACCTTCTTCCTTAGCCTCCTAAATGCTGAAATTACAAACATATGCCAGTAGGTCCTGCCAAAAACTAATTAAAAATGAGTTATGGACAGCGCGACTGAGATGAGTTTTTAACTGTTATTTAAGTATTAAGGTATTGTAAATGTTTTACTATTAACACATCTTTATTGTTTTTGTACAACTACCACTTTACCTTCACATCATATCAGACAGTTTTCACTGAATTATCAAGGAAATGTTGGAATATAGGTTCTACTATTACAAAAAAACACACCACTGAGCCAGATTTGGTGGCATATGCCTATAATCTCAGCATTCAGGAGGCAGGAGGACTGCCGACAGAAAATAAATTCAAGGCCAGCCTGAACTGCATAGGAGATCCTGTCTCAAAAAGACATTAAATAAATAAGTAAGTAAGTAAATAAATAAATAAATAAGTGCATTGAGTGTCAACAGAATGACTCAGTTCAAATACGTCTATTTTTTTCCCTTTTTTTTTTTCTTTTTCCTTTTTATCGGTACCGGGGATCGAATTCACAACTGCCTGCTTGCAAGGCAGGCGCTTATGCCGCTGAGCTAAACCTCCAGCCCCAATACATCTATTTTTTCTGTGTAATGTTTTAAAAAAACTCTTTATGCAGAAACAAGATATCCTGGGCTGGGGATTTAGCTCAGTGGTAAAAGCACCTGCCTGGCAAACATGAGGCCGTGAGTCGATCCCCAGTACCAGAAACAAAACAAAACACCAAGATATCAACTAGTATTACTGAAAACATTTTAATATGGCTATTTTCATTTTTAAAAATAACATGATGGACAACTGTGGTGGCTCACATCTGTCATCCCAGCATTCAGGAGCTCAGGCAGGAGCCTTGTGAATTTGAGACCAGCTTGGGCTACAAAGTTGAGTTCAAGGCCAGCCTGAACTGCACAGCGAGACCCTGTCTCAAAAAGCCAAAAAAAGGCCCGGGATTTAGCTCCACAGCATAAGTGCCTGGCTGGCAAGCACAAGGTTGTGAGTTCGTTTAGAGAACTATTTGAGTGTGCCACTCAATTTTTTCAAACACAAATATCATGAAATCTGGATTATTTCCAATGAAAATCTAACATCTGAATTGAGAAATTCAACTTCTGTGAATACATTTTTTATTCTAAAGGGTTAATATGAAGTAAGAGAAAAATAAGATTTCATCTAAGTTATGATTGTGACATGGACACAAGTAAAAAAATATACTATGTAAATTTATCTCATCATCTTCCTTTTACTTTTTAAAATGTGGGTTTCACTTAGACCTTACTTTTTTTTTTTAGACAAGGTTTCATTATGTAGTTCAGGCTGGCCTTGCACTCACTATGTAGTCTAGGCTGGCCTTCAACTCACAGTGATCCTCCTGCCTTGGCCTCCCAGATTACAGGCATGTACCACCACACCAGCTTCATTAGTATTTTTATTACTGCTGGTTCAGTTAATTTTATAAAAATCAACACAGGGTCATATAACGTTATCAAATACAAATTACTGACTCCTCACCTAGATCACTTTCCTCACTTGATGGCTCATCTGTCTTTATGTTTTCCTCCGTCTTCTTACTATCCGTTTTTTCTTCCTAGCAAAGGGAAGGCAAACAGTGCTGTTAGTGTTTAATAATATATCTGATACATTCATAATAACTTCTACAAATTTACGGTAACTTTATATGCCTTATATTTTAGTTATTAATGCTCCTAGGCTTCTTTTGGTAATTTTTCATTTCTCCTTTTTAATTATAGGTCTAGTTTTATATCCAAACCTTTTAAGACAATGCATTTTAGAACTTAAAAGTCTTGGATTTTAGAAAGTGAGCACACTGTAGATACCATGTAGTATGTAACAGCTAAATGGGCGATGCAGCCCATAACTCTCCACAATCAAACAGATTATTTCTGCAAAATAAAGTTTCAACACCCATAATTTGTAGAATAAAGACTATAAACAGTTTGGTACAATGGTGTACCTGTAATCCCAGCTACTAGGGAAAGTGAGGCAGAAGGATCACTTGAGTCAAGAGTTTTGAGGCCAAAATGGGCACAAGCTCAAACAGAACAAAACAGACGAAGACAAACTAAATAGCCTCATAATCATTTAGATATTTTTACTGAGATTTTCAGTTTGGGAATAGCAAGTAAGGATTTGAGTAACAGTAATACACAAACAAAATTTAAAGAATTTAGAAATGCACATTATGGAAAGCAAATTTTCTTCCCATCCTAGAAGTAACCAATATGGTGGTTCAAGTATGCCCCATTCTAGGATATTCTTTGTATACAGAGACCTCTGCACTTTGCCTTTTCCATCTAACAATGCTGTGTATCTTGGAGTACACCATTATCAACCCAACTGCATCTATTCATTCAACTATATTAGTACATTTGAAATTATTTATTTAGGTTCCTTCTACTTGATTTTTTTTTTTGGTCTTTTTCCTTTTTATCAGTACCGGGGATCAAACTCACGACTGCCTACGTGCAAGGCAGGCACTTATGCGACTGAGCTAAATCCCCAGCCCCCTACTTGATTTTTAAAAACTGAAATCAAAGCCTCACTTTACTATAAAATATTGTTGGGAGTCCCTACCAAATGTGCAAAATGATAGCTACATGTTAGCATATATTGAAAATATCAGTTATAATTCAAAACCAGCACTTTTTATGAAAAGATACTTTTATCAGGGACACAAGTCAAACAGCTGTGCCTCCATTCAATGCTCAAATGAAAGATGGGGAAGGGATCAGAAAGAACTGTGATAGACCTCATGCCTGTAATTCCAGCACTCACGAGGCTGAGGCGGGAGAATCATAGCAAGTTCGAAACCAGCCTGGGCTACAAAGTGAGCTCTAAACTGCATAGTGAGACTCGGTCTCAAAAAGACAAAACAACAACAACCACAGAAAGCATAATTGTGATAAATGACATCTAAAAAAAGGGTAACTACTTTATGGGCTTCTAGGTAGTTTTTCTCATTTCACTTGTTCATCGTTGTAACTTCTATTTTCATGTCCAAAATACATAAAAATAGCGAATTTTCTAATCAGAAAATTTAGGGGGAAAAAAATCTTTCAGGTATGAAAGCACAAGAGGAGAAATGAAAAATACAGTAAGTCCTATACATCCAAGTTTCATTTCAGGAGAACATTTGTAACTTAGATCCATTCCCAAATCTGACAAAGTCTTACACAGTACACCTGTGAAAATTCACAACTTCAATGTTTGTTAAATCCTTGTACTGAACAGTTTTCTGTTTTTGGTTTTTTTTTTGGTTTTTTTTTTTTTTTTTGGGTACAGGGAACCAAACTCACAACCTTGCACTTGCCAGACTCTGCTGCTGAGCTGTATCACTAGCTTGGGTTTGACTTTTTTTGAGACAGGGTGTCACTATCTTTCCCAGAATAGTCTCAAACTCCTGGGCTCAACTATTTTTCCTGTCTCAGCCTTCTGTACCGAACAGGGGTACCCAACCTAAAGGAAGCATTCTTCAAAGCACCTTTCTCCCATCTCTCAACTTCAGCTACTGGCAACCTTCCCCTATTTTCACTAACCCTTTCACTAACACCTTAATTAATTCATCCCTTAGACTTAGTGCAAAAAAAAATTGAGAATCACTGACTTGGAATACTTGCTCATTTTCTTGGTAAGCTGCTGAGTTAGGCACTAAAAAGGTTTAAGACACATCATACTCCAAATCTTCAGTTTTCAATCAGCCTTCAGAGGTTTGGTCCCCGCAGAGAAACTTTATAACAGACAGACAACTCTTAAAATCTTATTTCCAAAAAATACTAAGGTAACTGGCAGTGGTGGGGTTTTGTTGTTTGTTTTTAGTACCAGGGATTCAACTCACGACCTCACACTTGCCAGGCAGGAGCTTAAGCCACTGAGCTAAATCTCTGGCCTGGCAGTGGTGTTTTAAGAGCAAAAAACATTTCCTGAAACATTCTAATTCTAACAGTTGGGCCAGGGATTTCGCTCAGCATATAAGTACCTGCCTGGGAAGCACAAGGTCATGAGTTTGATCCCCAGTACCAAAACAAACAAACAAAAAATCTAACAGTATTTTATCACTAAACACAAAAATGAAGTTAAAACTTACCTTGATATTTTCTTCTGATTTAGCTTTATGGGTAGCAGGTGGTACTTTACCCCCCATGCTTAAGAGGAGAAAAAAAAGTGTTTAGCAAATTAAAATTCACTAAAAGTCAAGCCACATACGCCAAAAAGATGTTTAAGAGGGTATTTTTTCAAAATTTACAATAAGCTTTCAGTTAATTTGAATGCTTTGATATTATGATTAAATTTTTAATCCACGTAAATTTTTTATTTTTAGCATACTGATTAATGAAGCCCTGCCCCTTCCTTTATAAACCCTACAGGGCTAAGCATGGTGGCACACCTCTGTAATCCCAGCACTGCAGAAGCTGAGGCAGGAGGATTGCTGTGAGTTCGAGGTCCACCTAACCTACATAGTTAAATTCAAATCCAGTCTGAACTACAAAGTGAGATCCTGCATCAAACCAGAAAATGAACAAGCAACCCATAACTATATAACTTATCTATGTCCATTCCCAGAGGAAAAATAGAAAACAAAGGTCAACATTCAACAACAAAATTATTCATGTTAGCTTAGATTTCAGTAGTCATGCTGGGCATGGTGAGACACATCTGTAATCCCAGCATTCAAGAAGGCTGATGCAGAAGAGTCTCAAATTTGAGCTCAGCTTGGTCAAGTAATTTAAAAACAGCTGGGGTCTGGAAGCCTCACTGCAGAGATGGTCAGTAAAGCCAAAACAAACAAAAGACCAAGGGGTGTGTGAGGTTTCATATGATGGGACTCTACAAGGATTCTTCTTGCCCTCAACATCAGATTTTCACTTCATCTCCTCTAAACTGCACCTATTAACATTCCCTCGTCCTTGCCAATCCTTTTTTATCAAATACTCCAGTAATTACACACACATAATAAAAAGACAAGGACTCAGAACTAACATTATATGCTCCACTTGGTGTAGAAACCAAAGCAAATGGGGCCGTATACCAATGGTCTAATGGCTAAAGTAAAAAAATAAACCAGCAACCACAACAAAAACCCATTAATTTCTACATAAATCCAGGGTTTTATGCCTTGGAAAACAGAAAGGGACCAGTTCCAATATATGACTCGGCTACAGTTGTTACATCCACATTTACATTCATAGCAGTTGGGTGGCAAGTGTGGGAATAGGCTGTTTGTAGGTTAAATTTAAACGTGTACCCATTTTCCAAAGTTCTTTTTACCAATTTACACTAACCAGCAATGTATGAGAATTCTAGCTGTTATACACTTTGGTCAACACTTATGTACTGTTCACTCTTAAAATTTTGAGCCTTTCCGATTGGTACGTAGTGGCATCTTACTGTGTTGGGCCATTTTTTCATAACTGTACTACTGGCTGTTCAGTAAAGTTCAGTTCTCCAGTTTTCCATTAGGTTGTCTTTATTTATAAATATTCTTTTTATATTCTACATGAGTCCTTTGTCAGTTTCAGAATTACAAGTATTTTCTCTGACCCTATGGTTTGGTCTTTCACTCTTCTACAGTCTCCTTTGGCAGTACTGAGAATCAAACCCAGGGCCTTGCACTCAACTATATTCCAGCTACCCAGCCTTTTTAACTGTGACATAGGAGCTTCCTAAATTGCCTAGACTGACCTTGAACTTGTGATCCTCCTGAGCAGTTGGGGTTACAGGCAATTACAGGCATCCATGACAGTGCCTGGGCTCTCTTAATATCTTTTGATAAATTTAACAAAGAATATAAATGCAATATAGCAAAGGAAATGAAAACAAAACTTGGAACCTTATAAGCACCATTTGCTCAAAAAAAAAAAATGTGTAACTTTCTGTACTGTTTGATATTATTAAAAATGTTCAATTACTCAAGTTTTCTGAAAAAGATCATTACACAATTTCAAACATCTTAATTTATAATTCAGCACAGTTAAAATAATTCAAAGAAACACACATCTAAAAATAACAAAATTTCAACAGGAAAATCTTCCAAAAGCAGATAGTAATCAAACACTAGCTCTTTATAGTTAAATTTTAATGAAGACATGTAACTTTTTAAGCTGTGTTTTTCCTGTTTCAAAATGCAACATCCGGAGGCTGGGATTTAGCTCAGCAGCATAAGCGCTTGCCTTGCAAGCAGGCAGTTTTGAGTTCGATCCCTGGTACCGATAAAAAAAAGAAAAAGACAAAAAAAAAAAATGCAGCATCAGGAATGTATTCAGGGTAACATCCAAACACAGTCTCGAAAGTCTAAACTTTGTGAAGTGATATTCTTGCCAAGAAATGTAGTGAGCTAAAATCTAATGCTAAGAAAACATCAGACAAACCAAACTAAGGCGAAATTTTACAAAACAACTGGCTTGTAACCTTAAAACTGTCAAAAGTATAAAGTCAAAGCATCACGTCCTGAGTTTGATTCTCGGCATTTAATGTGAGACAGAGACAGACAGACAGAGAAAGAGAGAAATACAGACAGACAGAGACACAGAGAGAGAACCAAATATATGCAACATGGTAGTACATGCCTGTAATGCCAGCACTTGGGAGGCTGAGTTAGGATTGGGGGATTTTGAAACCAGTGTAGCTTCGAGGCTACATAGCAAATTCAAATCAACCCTGAACTGACCCTGTCTCTCAAAGAAAAAAAAAAAGGCAACATGAAATTCTGAAAATTAGATAGCATTAATACATGTGTATTGGTTTCCTGAGTTTGATGGTTGCATTGCAGACACTGACTTTGTTTACAGAAAATGATGTTGAGGGAGGGGTACAACGTTGGCAGCTCTCAAACAGTTCAAGAAAAATACGTAGTTGTACTGCACAGTACTTGTAATTTTTCTTTGAGCTAGAAATTGTCCCAAAAATATAGAAATTAAGCAGTTTACTAGCATGGATTTTTATGCCATACCACCAGGTAGGGCTGGTGCAGAGATCTTCCTCACACAGATTCACAAGACTGCATCATTTCTTAATTTGAGAATTAAAATCTTCAATCTGCTTTGTGCTATAGTTATTCAGATGACCAACAAATTGTTGTTATATTCAAACTGGTGTTATATCCTGAATTCTGTACTGTGGGTAGAAATGCAGTCTTTTCACTTCTATAATATTTACTACAACCATGTGCCATGCACTGTCCTGGAAAGCAGAATACAAAGATAGTGCACTTGACTTTATCATCAAATAAAGTGAGATAAAAATACAAGTGAGGTACAAAGTAGACAAAGTTATTAAATGAGGAAAAAATGTTAAGTATTTCTTCTTCAAAAGAGTAAAACAAGCTGGGCCTGGTAGTACATGCCTGCAACACCAGCTACTCTAGAAGGCTGAGACAGGAGAACTCCAAATTCATGATTGGGTAAGCAACTTTGTAAGACCTCATCTCAAAGTTTGAAAAAGGACTGGAGGTGTCACTTAGCATTATAGTGCTTGCTTACCATACCCCAGGCCCTGGATTTTATTCCCATTACTGGAAGGGAAAAAAAAGTAGAAACAAACAAAAAAAAAACCTCAAAATATATTTGTTGAAAAGAACAGTCTTTCTGGATCCCCAATGGGTACTAGTTCAGATTTCTCTCTCCTGTTTCTCCATGTGCAAGTTAAATGGTTATTAAATTAATAAATTTTTTACATCAAATAGAATTATTTACTAAAACCATGATACAGCAAATAAACTGCTGTGAGGGAAAGAACTCCACAAAAAAAATAAATAAATAAATTAAGCTCCGTGGCTATTTTGGAGAACAGTAATACCAGATACATTTTGCAGACCTTAACCGAATTTTCTACAAAGTCATAATCTAATCCCTTCAACACACATTACAAAATTGTTCTTAGGCATGTTTGAATTCAATCCTAGTCCCCAGTCGATTTTGAGAAACAAAGATTTTGCAAAACAAGAGTCTTGCTGACTTGTAGTTACAGATTTTAACTTCAATTTCTTCCCCAGAACAAGCTTGTTGAAAAGAAAACGTGGACCCATGACTTCAGGACTTCATCTTCCCCTACTAAACCAACACAATGTTTACACAATTGTAGTAGTACTTCTGTAGAAACACCCCGTGAAGTACAATTTCCACGTTTATATATATATATATATATATATATATATATATATACACACACACACACACACACACACTTTTTAAAAGTGATACTGGAGATGAAATCCACAGGTGCTCTACGACTGAGCTACACTCTCAACCTTTTTGATTTTGGTACAGGATCTCAGCTTCCCAGACTGGCATGCAAGATTCTCTGCCCCAGCTTCCCAAGTAGCTGCGATTCCATACATGAGCCATCATTCCAGTGAAGTCTCGGTATGTTGCTCAGCTAATCTCCAACTCCTGGATTCAAATCCTCTTGTTTCAGCTGTAACCTGCTTCTACATTCACCACCAGTAATGAGGACAACACCAGATGCCGCCCCCTACCTTGCAGAAGATAGAAAGAACACTTGGGCCTAAACCTAGTAGTATTGTTTATTTAAAAAAAAAAAAAAAAAAAAATCACCTCCCGGGGGTAGATTTCCTTTTTTCCTTGGGTGCCCTTCTAGTAAACAGCTAGTATTTACTACAAAATAAATTACTTACTCACATATATACGTAAATAGAACTATTTCACAGCAGCTGGCACAATGTCCCTTCCACAAATTCCTCGTGCGTAGAGGAGTAAAATATAAATTAAAGATAAAAATGTCTTCGAAGCATGCTGCCCTGGGGGGGGGGGATCATTTCCTTACCATCTGTGATTATAGTATTGTCACTAACGGAAGCACAATAAAGATTGCCAAGATAGTTAATTTTACGCAGTTACAATCACTGTAAGACAAAACCGATCAGTTACTCTACTGAATTGTCCTTACTCTTTGAAAGGACTACATAAAAAACGCTCCGACGTGCCCACGCGACCTACTCAGGACGGCAGAGAATTAACGCAAAATTCCCCACGCGATACCTAAGTTTTTTGCCCTTCTTGTCTCTCTTTCAGCACCACTCCAGTTTCCAGAGCCCAGGGCCCGAAATCGCCCGCATTTACTACGCACGAGATGCATGCCTGGGGGCCTTGGGGTGCGGGGAGCCCAGCTCTGTCTCCCCGCCCCACCTCTGTGCTGTCCCACGCTCGTGACCCTCCATCAAACTCCTCAAAGTTGCCTCCCTTCCAGGCGAGGGAGTGCGGAGTCACCAAAAGGCTCCCGAGCCCGCTCCCACGCCGCGCCGCGCCAAGCTTGGACCCAGCTCCCCTTCTTCGCGCTCCAACGGTCCCAGGGCCCGGGTCTTACCTCTCCACCCACTCCCTCAGGAAGCGCATCTCCTCGGTGTGCAGGACGCTCGGATCTTGCTTACACATTTTCACGAAGGCCCGAAGCTCGTTTACTTTGCGGGGATCCATGGTAGGGACACCGCGGGCGACTGCTATGGAGGTTGCGGCCCTATCCAAGGCCCGAAAGCTGGCTGGGCGAGACCTTGCAGAAGGGGGCGGTTGCCGCGAGGTAGAACCGACTAGAACCTCCCAGGCCGCTGGCTCCGCCCCTCAACGGCCTCGTGACCCTGGGTCCTTCGCTTGCTCATTGCTACCCTACCTCTGCTCCAGCACACTGGCTGGAATCTTCTAGAAGTGTGGCTGTTCGTGTTCTTGCCTGCCTCCCTACACAAACATTTTTATACCACTGAATCAATTGTCATAATGGGCCAAGCCATCTACGTGGACGCTTTGAAACAGGCAGGCGACACCAGCTCCTCTAGGCTCCTCTAAGGAACCATTTAGAATTGGACATCCTGTGAATGTAGGTGTTCAGTGGCGCGCGACAATTTCCAATGAAAAGGGCCACTGGCCCTAGCGTCAGGTTCGAATGTGACGTCAGCATTCTGCGCAGCCCAGAATGAAAGCCCGCAAGCTGCGCCCGCCGGAAGGGGCGGGGTCACCGGCCCGGTTTCTTGGTGACACGGCTCCGCAGGTGGCTGCTTCCTGCGCTGATTTCCTCTTTTCATAACGTGTGAGGTGGCCGTTATGTCTTGGCTCCTCTCGACTCTCAAGCTGCTTCCCGCCGTCCCAAGAACCCGTGGTTTCCCAGGTTAGACTTTTCTCCCACAGTGTCCTCTCGGGGACCCAAGTTGGTCTCAATCGGTACCTGAGTTGGCCTCATTCGATCCTTGGTTCTGTGGACCCTTCTGCTGGGGTCCCCGTGGACTTCATCTTTACCGACTACTCCTGGAAAAGGGTGGGCCTTGTGTTTTTTCTGCTTGAGGTATTCGGAAGCTGAAATAACTGCTCAGAGAAAACCGTGTGCCATCCACTAGAGGGACTGTCTTCAGAGTTATTCGGACTTAAAGTTGTGTCAGTTGTCATCGCGCTTGTTTAGGTGACAAAACCACTCTCTGTAGCTCTTGTTTCTGTCGAGTCGACATGAAACCCCATTTTCATGTTTTTTAAGAGTTGATTTAGAAGCTGGCCCAAAATGCACAAGACCGTGTTCAGTTGCCGCGAAGAACTCAATTTGTAGCGGAGGCTGACCTCAAACTCAAAGCAATCTGAGTCAGGCGTGCGCCCCCACGTCCGGCTAAATTCAGTCTTAGTCAGAGGTCCCAACCTAAGATTTTGAGCAGGAACCATCCTTTGCTTGTGACCTTTGAATTTGTCAAGACTTAGTGTTAAGTCTGATTAGTCAAAATTTAGGACTACATACTGAAGCCGGATATGGTGGTGCACGCCTGTATTCCAAGCACTTGAAGGCAGAGGCTGGATGATCGCAGCGCATTCCAGACCAACCCAGGCTACAAAAGTGAATTCAAAGCCATCCTGAACGGTATAGCGAAATCCTGTCTCAAAAAGAAAAGAAAAAAAAAAAAAAACAGGCTAGAAGAAAGGAACCGTTGTGGTAAAGGGAACTTGTGCAAAGACACAAAATGATTGCAATGCTTAGCAGTCTGTACTAACTATTACAGTGTAGTCGGAGAAGCTTTTTTGAAATACATTCCTGGGCATATTAATAGGTGTTATACCACAGTGAGTCAATGTTCAAATATTCACATGGGGTGCCCCATGATGAATTTTGAACTTGGTAACCCTGGGACACATTTTGCGAACAGTTGGACTGGATAGAAAGCCAAGTTTGAGTTGGATATGGTGGCACACGCCTGTAATCCCAGCACTCAGGGAAGGCTGCGGCAGGATTGTTGAGAATTCAAGACCAGCCTGGGCTACAAAGAGAGCTCAAAACCAGCCTAAACTGCATAAGAATACCAAGTTTGAGAAAAAGCTAGTGGCTGATTAATGGAGGGGCTTGTAGATTATGTTATGAAATAGTAAACTTTTTCTTCTAAGCAATGGGAAAACGTTGATGAATTTTAAGTGTTGCATAAAATGCTTAAATTTGATTTTTTTTTTTTTTTTTTGGTCTTTTTGAGATAGGGTCTCATTATGCAGTTCAGGCTGGCCTTGAGCTCACTTTATAGCCCAGGCTGGTCTCGAACTCACAATGATCCTCCTGCCTCAGCCACCCGAGTGCTGGGATTACAGGTGTGAGGTTTAAATTTGAATTTTTAATTCTCTGTTAAGAATGGAGAACAAGCCAGGCATGGTGGCTCACGCCTGTAATCCCAACACTCCGGAGACTGAGGTGGGAGGATCATTGGGAGTTCAAGACCAGCCTGAACTGCATAACAAGACCCCATCTCAAAAAAGACAAAAGAAGAGGGCTGGGGATTTAGCTCAGCGGCATAAACGCCTGTCTTGCAAGCAGGCAGTCATGAGTTCGATCCCCGGTACTGATAAAAAGGAAAAAGACAAAAAAAAAGAATGGAAAACAAGGGCTGGGGATCTAACTCAGTGGCATAAGCGCCTGCCTAGCAAGTCGTGAGTTCAATCCCTGGTACAAAAAAAAAAAAAAAGAATGGAGAACAGTTATGTAAATAGCATTTAAAATATCCTAAGCTTTTATGATTTTAGTTTCTGGAAACAAATTTTAGATGCTAATTGTGTCCAGACATTCCCTGTAATAAATTACCTTTCCTCCCCAAGATATACTCACTGGAAAAATAAACAAACAAAAAATAGTAATATTGGGGCTAGGGATTTAGCTCAGCGGCATAAGCACCTGCCTTGCAAGCAGGTAGTCTTGAGTTTGATCCCCTGGTACCGATTAAAAAAATAATAATAATAATACTGTGCCTAGTGTGATGGTGTAATCCCTGTATCTGTGAGGCTGAAGCATAAGGATCACCTTGAGTTTGAGGCCAACTTGGGTTACATAGTGAATTCCAAGCCAGCCTGAAGTACATAGCAAGACCCTGTTTCAAAAACCAAAACAAAAGACGAGACTGCCGGATTGCTTTGAGGAATCCTGGTTAATTCTGGCTTGAAACAAATAGGCTGGCCTGGCCTATGTAAAATTTACTATATTAACCATGTTAAGTGGTTAGTAGTGTTGAAAATGTTCACATTGTTGTGCAACATCTCCAGGACATTTCTGTTTTGCAAATCTGAAGCTTCATACCCATTAAGTAACTACCTTCCCTCTTTCCAGCCTCTGGTAATCACCATTCTACTTTCTGTGGCTAGAATTTTGACAATTTTAGATACTTCATTTGATTGATTTAGCATAATATCCTGAAGGCTCATCCATGTTGTGGTTCATAACAGGATTTTCTTCTTCTAATACTGAATATTTCTTTCCTGCCCCCACCATTGGATGTGTGTAGTTTATTCATCACTTTCACCTTTTGACTACTGAAGCATAGAATACATTTGTACAAATGTAAATCAATTTTTAATTTAAAATACTTAAGTGTCTTTAAGTTACATATCAGATCCTTTGCTTCTATTGAGAAGTTATTTTCTGAATAATTTCATAATCTGAATCTATGTATCTTAGTACTTTTTTTTAATTTTTTTTTTTTTTTTGAGAGACAGGGTTTTGCTATGTAGTTCAGGCTGGCGTGGAACTCCTTGAGTCCTGTGATTACAGGCATGTAGCACCACACACAGCCTCTTAGTACATTTTTGGTCTCCTAAAGTTCTATGTGTGTCAGAAGTTCGTAGAGTAGTTTTAGCTAAGTAAAAGAAATGAACTCTGCTAAAGACAAATTCTAAAACTGAGTGTGGTGGGCCAGGCTGGGCTGCATAAGCAAGGTCAAGACTAGCCAGCACTAGACCCTGCTTCTAAAACAAAAAAAGATATTCTATATGCAAGACAAAGTAAAAAAGAAAAAACCTCAGTTTTCCAAGCATAACATCACCAATTGTTATCATAAATTGATCTTCTTGTGACATTCCTAATCCAAACAACTACTAACCAAATGTCCACAAACTTGCTTAAAATGTTGAAGATATACCTTTAGGTAGTATTAAATAAGTATTATCTACAAAAACTGTGTTTAACCAAAATATACAGAATCATGTTCAAATGTTATAATATGTCTGAAGAGTCAGTTTAGCAATTCCTTTGGACTGACTTCTGTACCTCTTTGTGCTGCTTTTTTTTCCTCTTACCGCCTTTGAATCCTGCTGAGAAAATACAGGGATCTCAATTGCTAGGAATCCAAAGTATAACTTGCTCATCATTTTCTATAAAAGTATATTGGGACACATGCTTGGAGCTGTGGGAATTTAAATAATCATTGAATGAATGTTTTCTCCAGCTGTATACTTCTGCAAAGTCCCCTTTGTCTCTCATATCATTTTCAAGGAGAAATTTTAACTCAAGGCCTTTGACTTCTCTTTTTTGATCATTCTCAATATTTTTGTTTGAATTAATATTTCTGTCATTAACAGCTTTGCCTGAGGTTATAACATATGTAATTGTCCACCTTAGTATCATCAAATGCCAAGGAAGAGAATGAAATAAGGCCTTCATGCCCCAGTGAACCGTAAGAAGTATATCCTGTATCAACTGAAGAAAATGTCTCCAGGGGCTGGAGATTTAGCTCAGCAGCATAAGCGCCTGACTTGCAAGCAGGCAGTTGTGAGTTCCATCCCTGGTATCAATAAAAAAAAAAAAGAAAGAAAATGTCTCCAAAACTGAATGTTCACTGGAAGTAAAGTAAAAGGATCCTGCACCTTTGTTTCCATGCAAGCCTCTTAGAGTATTTAAAAGATCTTCAAGCGAGTCTTCAAAGAAGTGAAATAAAAATGTGTCCTTTCACCAAACATTTCTTTAAAGACATCATCAGGCTTACAGAATGTGAAGCCATAATCATCATCATCAGAATCACTTCCACCTCTGCCATTTAATTCCTTTCCATACATATCGTAAATGTCCTGCTTTTCATCATTTCATAATACTTCCTATGCCTCAGCTACTTCTTTGAATTTTCTTTTGCTTCTTTATTTTGTGGATTTTTATCAGGGTGCCATTTAAGTGCTACTTTATGATAAGCCTTTTTAATGTCCTCGGGTGAAGCATATCTCTGTACTCCTAGGACTGTATAATAACCCACCATGTTTTAACAGATTATTGAAAATGGGTGCACTGTTTGTTTCCTCTAAAGTTCAGGCTCTGCGTATGGTGGTAGTAGTGAGAAGAGGCAGTAACCACAAGTAGGCACGTGTTTTCACTGAACAGAATGTCACACTCAGGGAAGACATAAGGAGTCTGATTGTGTAGCAAGCCCAGTTACAGGCTTATGACAGAGAGGGCCACTTTATGTTGTCATGTTGGGGTCAGGGTTGGGATTGGACATTCCAAAGAAAGCTAGTTCAGAGTCACACAAGACCATACTGGGACCTCTGCTGTTTCCGTGGAGAGCCAGTGAACCATGTGAAAAAAGTTTTCAAGCTGACATTTATTTTAGTGAGATCAGTAAAAGATACAGATAGGTGGTTGAATCACAGTGTTTAATAAGGGCTATAATGAGGGAAGCACTGGATGCTAGTCAGCTTAAGACCCCTGAGGCAGACTAGGGGATCAGGGACAGCAAGTGCCTAATGGAAGCTTATTCATTGCAGGCCAGTAGTGAGTCATCCTAGATGATAGTATCTTTGTTCACCTAGAGTTTACTATAAAATGTGTAAAGATTTTAGAAATTATGCATTTTTGTATTTGTTATATAATTATTGAATGCCTATGCAGGGCCAGGCATAATTTTAGCCACTGGTGATAAAAACGAAAAAGACCAAAATAAATAAATAAATAAATAAAATAAAAAATAAAAATAAAAATACCTAAAGTATTAAACAGTATTTGAGCACCCTCTAACTCACTCTATACTATGATATACAGTTTTTCATTTAACTAACACAGCATTCTGGCAAAATAACTGCATATTTTATGTTGCTAAGCAGTTTAGGTATTGAGAGAGAAAGTAAATTGCTTAAGGCCATGTAGCTTGTTAGTGAAAAATCTGATTTTTAAATTTAAGTCAAATTCCAAATTCCACTGTATTTTCACTGTAAACAGAGTGCAGTTTCCACTGTACTGCATTTTTTTGGTACCAGAACTTAAGAGTTAATTTCTAGACATCTCACAAACATATAGTGAGAACAGAGTAAAGTAGAAAATTAAAAATTCTGCTCCTAAAGTAATCATTTGAGGATGCTAACTTTAGTAGAGTGTGCAAGTGTAGCACAAAGAATTGCTTTTGTAATTATCCTCATCCTTCCCAGCAGCTGTGCCAGTTTCTCTGATCCATTCACAATGAAATTTTTCAAAATTGTCTCAGAGTTAGGGCTTTCTTACATCCTTGGGATACTCTATCCAGTTTGGCTTCCATCTGTACTGTACCCTTCTTCCTTGTCAAAGCTTCTTTTTCCCAAGTACTGGATATCAAATCCAGGGCCTTCTCACTGAGCTACATCCCCAGCCTCCCCCCCCAACCCTTTTTTATTTTTTATTTTGAGACAGGGCTCACTAAGTCCCTGAGTTGCCCAGGCTAACCTTGAACTTGTTTTTTTGTTTTTTGATTTTTCAGAGTTTTTTATACTAGGAATTGAGTTCAGGACCTTGCACTTGCCAGGCAGGCGCTTATGCTGCTGAGCTATAACCGCTGACCCCTAGGCCTAGGCTTCAACTTGTGATCCTGCCTCATGTTCTCAGAGTGCTGGGATTCAGGTGTATGCTACCACACAAACTCAGCTCACTTTTGTTTCTTTAATTTCCTAAATACCACATTCTTCTGGTTTTCTTCTGTCCTATGCTTCCCTTACTAAAATATCAAAGCCTCAGATTTTATTCAGTCTCCCCAAGTAGTATCCAGTCCTGGTGAAGGAAACTCCCAACCTACTATATGTCCAGAATGAGTTCGAGTTCTCTAAAATCGAAGAATGAATTTTAGGAATAACAGAGGTTAAGAGCAGAAATATTAATTGAGAGAAAGAAAGCGTCTGTCTGAGAGAGGGACAGAAGGGGTCCCTTGTGGGTTGCCAAAGAGTCTATATTTTCTTGGGATTTTTATAGAGTAAAATCATGGCGTGAGACGAGTCTAAAGTTGGGGAAAACTGGGCACTTATAAGGCAAATGGACATGAGGTGGGACAGAGCTATGGTCAACCAGTAAGTTTAATTGTTTAGGTAAAATTGGACAAATGGGGAAGCAGGTCACATCACTGACTCTTCCTATAGAGGGTTGGGATGGTGACTCCTGACTTCTCAAGGTGATCCAGACTTAATCACTAAGGATATACTTAAGGGTGTGGTTGCATTTGTTTTGCCTTCTGTCCTGAGATCTGGCCCATAGCAAGAGATGTGTGTCCCCGCCAAGGTCATCAGACATCTGGTCCTCCATGTCAGCTTCTTTCAAGGCCTAGCCCTGTCTCATTGCCTATAATATTTCTGACTAGCTCAGTTACCTGTAACACTGGGACTTTAGAAAATGACTAGGTCTCATGGCAACTTAATTTATATATCTAGTCTGCCACATTTCCCACTAAATTTAAGACTTCCTGTTTGTCCTCTCTCCCATTGTAATAGCCAATAAATATTTCAGTCTTTTCTTTCTTTCTTTCTTTGTTTTAGACAGAGTCTCCTTATGTAGTTTAGGCTGGCCTTGAACTCACTATGAAGCTCAGGCTGATATCAAATTTCTGCCCCAGCCTCCCAGGTGCTGGGGTTACAGTTTACCACCTTACCAGGCTTCCCATTTCATTTAATGGTGCAACCATTCACCCATTTGTTCAGATCAAAATCTAGGAATTAATTTCTCTTTTTTTTCCTTACTCCCCACATCCAATCAAAAACCAAATTCATTGACTTTTTATATTCATGATAAGTGTATTCCAAATTCAGAGATAGGAAAACAAAGTCAAATTGCATGATCCAACGTTGCATCAATAGTAGTGGGTGAGACTATAAGAAAGATTCACTGTGTAATGTTCAGGCTGAATTGGTACAAGTTACATAATCAGAGGGGTGGACAAACTCCATTTTAAACCAAGAGAACTCTTTTTTAAAGCAAATGCTGTGGCACAGAATAATTTACTAACACTCTTCAAGTAGTTTAGTGTGGCTACAGTAAATTTGTTTAGTAAATAGGCTAGTCTAACCAACAAGATCTAGGTTGTGAAAGGTTGTAACCTAGAATTTGTCTTTGTTTTAGGTTTGGGCTTTGTTTTTGAGGCAAGGTGCTGCTTTATAGTTCAGGGCTGGTCTTGAATTTTCTCTGTAGCCCATGCTGGCCTCAAACTTGAGATCTTCCTGTCTTAAACTTCTGAGTGCCTAAGCTAAAGACTTTGAAGCTCTGAAAAAGTTCTGGTAAAAATTCTTACAGTGCGGGGCTAGGGATTTAGCTCAGCGGCATAAGCGCCTGCCTTGGAAGCAGGCAGTCGTGAGTTTGATCCCCGGTACCAATAAAACGGAAAAAGACCAAAAAAAAAAAAAAAAAGAAAGAAAGAAAGAAAAGTATCTTTAAAAAAAAAAAATTCTGACTTCTGGGAGAACATGGCGGATAGATAACAGCAACTACCGGAGGCTCTTTGAAAGGCTCGGCTCAGAAATCAGGAATGATGCGGACTAAGGAGACATGAGCCGGTAGAGATACGCTCTGCTGACTCAGGAACGAACTGGGCTGAGAGAAACCAACTTGGAATGCAGTCCTGGTGCTAAAATAGGAACAGAAAAGTCTCGGTGTGGAGGCTGGACCCCACGCCATTGGAAACCGCGGTTTGGATTTCCCACCACTCGGCGGCTGGCTGCCTCCACAGCGGCTCGGCAAGGAGAGATGCGCAGAAGCTCTGGGAACGGGAGTCTGCGAACGGAGTCGAAAACAGGATGGACAAGGAGGCGTACACTGACTGGTGGCGAGGTGAGTGAGAGAAACTGACACTCCACCACAGTTTGACTCCAGCGGAGGACTTTCTGGGCTCGGGCAGTCCTGTAAGAGCAGGGCGCGGTGGCGACTCCAGCCACACATTCCCCTCTCGGACGGGATTGGTGAAAAGTGCCTGGCCTGCGTGACGCTGCGGGCGGACTTGGTAGGCTGGCCTAACCCAGATCCCAGAGCCTGACGGTGGCCTGGAGGGGTGACTGCCGCGTAGGCTGCCTAGTCCGTAACTCCCTGGGCAGCGGTGGGCGGGAACACCTAGCCAGCGCAATTTGATCAGGCTGTGGCTGACAGGCAGGGAAGCTGGGCCTCCTATGTAAGCTTGCATTTTATAAGGAACAGAGAAAATGGGGAAGGGAAGCAACAAGAAAGGCTCCTTGGCCCCCAATTCTGAGAAACAGGCAATAGCGGACACCACACCAATAGACATTAAGCGCCATATAGAGAGCCTCATAGACCAATTCAGGAATGAAATTATCAACGACCTGAAGCTAGAAGTATGCAGAATAGTTAGAGAAATGCTAAGCACCACCCAGGAAAAAACAGATGGTGGAATGGAAGAACAGAAAAAGAGGGGAGAATTGTTTGATGGAGAAAACAGAGAAAGCATAGAGTACGTGAAGCAGGTTCAAAGGGACTATCAAGAAATTAAGAAGTCTATCCAAGACTGGCATAACAGCTTGAAAGAAACTAAGGACAGACTATCTGAGCTGGAGGGCAGACTTGTAATATGGGAGAATGAAATGAAAAACTTCTTAAAAATAACAAAGAAACAAACAGCAATAATACAAAGACAAGAAGATGATAAGAGGAGCCATAACTTAAGGATTAAGAACATAAAAGAAGAAGTAGGGACACAAACAAGTGAACTACAAAAGCTACTCACAGAAATAATCCAGGAGAATTTTCCTAATTTAGCAAAAGGTAAAGATACTCAGATGTACGAGGCATACAGGACCCCAGCTACCTACAACCCTAACAGAGAAACACCCAGGCATATAATAATAAAAATTCCAGAAATTCAATACAAGAACAGAATATTAAAAGCTGTAAGAGACAAGAAACAGACCACTTACAAGGGAACACCCATCAGAATTACAGCAGACTTCTCTGCACAAACCATCAAATCATGAAGAGCATGGGGGGAAATAATTCAAGCTTTGAAAGATAATAATCTCCAGCCAAGATTGAGATATCCTGCACAACTGTCCCTGGAAATTGATGGAAAAACAAGGTGCTTTCAGGATAAAGAGGAACTGGGGGAATTTGCAACCACCAATTCAACCCTACAGAAAGTATTGCAGGATATTCTAAAAGAAAAATACAAAGAACCCAGAAATGGTGGCAGGGAGGCCGCAACAAATAGAGCAGAGAACAAAATGAAGAAGACAAACTGACAGCTACTGACAGAAAAAGAGCTCAACAGAAATGAGACAGAGAAGATTGGATGATAGGAACAGCTATTTTAGAGAAAATGACATCTTAATAGGTAATACTGATTTAGTATCATCTTGTTTTGAAGTCTCATCTAGCTTTTGTTCTTCTGTCTCCAATGGTCTAAACAGGTTGTATCTTATTGGATTTTATTATGTACGATAGTATAAGCAAAAACCTTTTAAAGACAAGGAGATTATACAGAAACCATTGTTCATTTTCTGTTAGTCGATTCTAAATACTCTGTAATGCTGTCATTCTCTTAAATGGTTTTACATTGTTTTGATATACTTAATGCTACAGTATATGAAGTTGTACTCAAGGACTTCAAGGAAAGAGTCAATATGGTAACTACTTTTAGGTCGGAATTATCTGGTGGTGAAACACTATTCTGCTTAAATGGTTATGTTTTGATCTGCGCTGTTTTGTTGTTATGCCCTCTTTCTTCTCAATCTCCACTCCATTATTTACTTTTTTATTTTTATCCGTTTAATTAAAGGGAAAAAAATAGCAGGATATAGTATAGTAACCCACTTTGACTTTCTATTATCTCGATTTGAAGCCCTGTATTACTCTCACCATCTTGTTTTTGACTGATGTTCCCCTATTCTGTTTTGCTGGATAGTATCAGGTTCGAAAGTTTAGGCATCAGCTGAGAAGATAATGAGATTCATTATAACGCCCATTCTCGTTGACGTTTATCTACTTTTGAAGACCTACAATGTCACCAATGTTTTGGTTTTGTCGGTTTTGTTCTTTACTATTTTGTTCAATTGTATTATAACTAATGATATAGGCAATTCTATTAGAGATAGCAGGAGGCATTATGGTAACCATTGATGATCACCTTGTATTATGTTTTTATATTATCTATTATGTCCACCCTTTTGACTTGACCGATTCTGTCCTGTTATGTCTCACTTGGTTTTACTCTCTTCCAAAAAAGCAATAAGAACCGTGGGAGCAATGAAACCCAAAATGTGTAATAGTCATTGTACAAAAGAGAGGAAAAGAAAGTGCTCTAAACTATATAACTGCATGTATATTTAAGTGTATAAGATAGAAAATGATATCACAGAGTTTTATTGGATCATTGAACAGAACTGTTTGCAGTATCATTGTTGGAATGTCCACTCTACAGGCTTTAATTTTGTGACTTGAACAATTATTTTTAAGATGGCAATATGTAATCCATTAACTAGTGATTTCCTACTGTTCATTTTTTTCTTCTGTAAATCTGTATAACTTGTACCCTTTCACTTTTTTTTTCTTTTCTCCTTAAATTAAAAAAAAAAAATTCTTACAGTGTTAGTGCAGGAGGCTTGAAATTTGAACCTGACGTGGCTGACACAGCCTTTAGTGAGCTTGATGCAAAGCACTAGTTGAGTATGTGCGCTACCATTGAGCTGCATCTGCAGCCCAAGGTAAAGAATTAGATCTCTTTGGAACTAGGGTATAGTCATAGAGGATAAATTAGACAGGCAAAACCCAAGGTGGAGCCAAGACGAGCAGAATCTGTTGCCTTAGTCCAGGCATATGAGGGAGGCCTAAACTAGTGAGATGATGTTAAGCAGGAATTGGATATTTTAGAAGTATGACTTGACATACATGCTTTGATACTAATTATATGACCAGATCAAGTAAAAGATCTGTTTACTTGAAATTAAGTAAACAGCCATTAATACTATTTTTAGTCCGCTGAGAATAAGCAGTGTATCATGTTGAAGTATTAGATGGCTTTGAACTTGTCAAACTTGCTCTGCTTGGAGTGCTCCAAAGATGAGATTGGGTAGGCTAATACTATTTCATCTGAGTATTAAAAAAGAGAATTGGTTATCTTTTTATGTTCAGTTGTTTTACTGCTGAAACAATAGACAGTGTAGGCCACTAGCTATGGCATTTCTAAATTATTATTCAAATCATTGTTTCATCTGAGTACATCGTAAACAACTTACTTACCCTTTCTGTTTTCTTTCTCATCATTACAGCCAAAGCACTGCAATAGTACCTCCTCAGACACAGAATGTACCATTGGTTTGACTCGGTTTCATGTGAATAAAGTACTATATTTTTGGAGGTATTACCAGGAAAGTGATAATCTTGGGTGCCCCAAGGGAAGGGAATTTAGTTTGAGGTCTGGTATAGGTATTATCAATAAAATTGATCAACTGTGATTTGAAACCATTAAATATACTGTTCCTGTACTCTTCACTTTAGTAAGGAAAATTGTAGCTGCACCCTATGTGAGCTGTGATTAGGACAAGAATTGGTTTACAGGTGAGGGAAGCTGAGATAGTTCTGGAAAATCTCCACTGTTACCTTGTTTCTTCATAATAGTACTTTCTGGTCACCTAAGAACAGGTTCTACATCTATTATAGACCTCTATCATTTCTCCCTGTGCCCTCTCTCCCTTCCAGAAACACAAATGTCAGGGGACAGATAATGAAAAAATTAAAAGGGTTGTAAAGTGCTGTGCTTTTTTTGTATTGGAGACAGTGCTGTGCTTTTTTGTTTTGTCTCTCTGTAATATAGACTGGCCTTGAACTCATGGGTGACCCTTCCGCCTCAGTCTCGTGAGTGCTGGGATTATAGGTACACACTACAACACCCAGCTAAATTTGCTGTGCTTTTAAGGTTATTTCTTTGAGTATTTACAAGTAAGAATATAAAGAATCTCCTGTTTGGGTGGGGTAGGGAGTGGTCTCAGGATCCCTTTATACTATGAATAACCATTAGGGGCCCTCTCCCCTAGGAACTCTTCCCCAGCTGGAGCTGACATAAGAATAGAGACACAGCCTGGTAGTGCAGGGTTTTTCAGAATACACGTTGTAATGTTAGTATGTTGCTGTGTTAGTTCCCTGAGGCTGCCATAATAAATCACTGCAGATTGGCAGTCCAGTACAACAAAAGTTTGTGCTGTCATGGTGCTGGAGGCCAAAGGTCCCAAATCAAGATGTCGGCAGGATGGTACCTCCTCTAAGGCTCTAGGGGACAACATATTCTTCGCTTCATTCAGCTTCCAGGAGCTGAATATGTCTCAGCGTTTGTTGGCTATGACATCACCACACCTGGCTTGTATTTCTTACCGTGTTTTTGTTTGTTCAATTTGTTCTTGAGACAACAACTCATTATGTAGTTCAGACTGCCTTGAACTTCTATGTAGCCTCATATTTGTAATGATCCTCCTGCCTCAGGCTCCCAAATGCTGGGATTACAGGTGTGCACCACCACGCCTGGCCTTACTGTGGATTTTGTCCAAAAAATGTTTGAAAGCTACTACTTAATATGAGTGCTTTACTTTTTTCCACAGGTAAATATATAGGTACACAAGAATTCTGTAACATGTCAAGACCACATCAATCCTAGAACTAAACTAGAACCAGCTCTTTTCTGCTATGCCATGATTTTTCAACTGTGCCTTCATTTTGAAAAAATTTTATTCATTTATTTGTTTGCTTATTTGTGGTATTGATGACTGAACTCAGTGTCTTCACACTGAGCTACATCTCCACCTCTTTATATTTTTTATTTTGAAATGGGGTTTCTGCTGAGTCACTTAAGTTGTCTAGGCTGGGCTTGAACTTGTGATGCTCCTGCGTCAGCCTTCTAGAGTACTGGGATTACAGTTGTGTGCTGCCATGTCTGTTTGTTTTTAAAAATAAATAAAAACGGTAGTATAATGAATTCCCATCTACCTGTGACTCACTTCAAGTTATTAACTCCATGACTAGTTTTATGTCATTAAAACCCTCATTCATCCTTTCCTCAATCCATCCACCCCCCTATTGTTTGGAGACAAATCCCAGGCTATGTCACTTTATCCTTAAATAATCACGTATATCTCTAAAAAGTAAGATTTTTTCCTTTTTAATATAACCATACCACCATTATACCTTAAAATAAAGTTCTTCTGTAACAACATCAAATACGCAGTCCCTCTGCAAGTTGTCAGTGGTTTCCTAAATGTAAATAGTGTATTTGTTTTACATTTTGTTGCTTAAGTCAGAATCCATATAAGACCCACATAATAAAACTGGTTAATTATAGTTTTAAGGTTTTCTTAATCTGTATCTTTCTCTTCCATTTCTCACCAATTCAGCCTGCCTTAAAGCTACATGTTGATGTATGAGCTGTTTCCCATAGTCTAGACTTGGTTGATTGCATCCTTATTGGTGTCATCTAGCAAGTTTCCCTGTCTTTTAAATTTCCATAAATTGTTTATCTCATGTTTGTTGAACTTAAAGTGTATGTACACAGGGTATATTCTCTAAAACATATTCTATAGGTTTTCTGTTGACCCACCTGGCAAGTATGAGGTCATGAGTTTGATCCCAGGTCCCCCCCTCCAAAAAAAAAAAAAACACCTGTTGAATTTTTTATCCATATTCTCATTTTTCATTTTGTGTATGTGTGTGTGGTACTAGGAATTGAACCCTGGGCCTTCACAAGTACATCCCTAGCCCATTTTTTATTTTGAGACAAGATCCCACTGAGTAAGTCCTCCAAGCTGAGGTCAAACTGGCAGTCCTCCTGTGTCAGCCTCACAGTACTGGGTTTACAGACAGGTAACCATGCCTGGCTCATTTTTCACCATTCTTAAATGTACTTTCATATGTCCTAGAGTGTTTTATGTTTTGCCTGTCTAAAAAAGCAATATTTTTTTCCAAAAATCTTCCATAAATTCAGTTGAGTTACATTTAAGACTCCTACCTCACAAATACTTATGCCATTATTTCATCCAGCATATTTCCTACCTACAGAAAGATTTGTCTTGATCTAGATGTAGCATATTCTCCCATTGTTCTGGTTGTCTGCTCCCAATGAAATTGTATGGCACTGATTATGTGGCCAGGATTATAGGCAGAAATTCTGCCAAGCAACCAAGTGAAAAAGCAAGTATGGAGACTGAAATTAAATAAACTTGAGTCTGAGTGTGGGCTTTCTAGTGCTGTATGACTTTGCACAAATTACTTCTTTTTTTTTTTTTTTTCACAAATTACTTCTGTCTGATCCCTCCTTTATAAAAATAATGCCTGCTTCTCATCACAGTTAAAAGTCTAAATGCTAGGGGCTGGGGATTTAGCTCAGCGGCATAAGCACCTGCCTTGCAAACAGGCGGTCGTGAGTTCAATCCCCGGTACTGATAAAAATGAAAAAGACCAAAAAAAAAGTCTAATTGCTGTGCTCTTTTCTGCAGCACATATACTAAAAAAAGTCGTAATTCCTTAGTTTACCATACGAAGTGTTTAGAGGCCTGACCCTTACTCAAACTCTCACTGCAGCAGCCCTGACCTGCTGGTGGAGTGGGCCACTGCTGCCTGCTGCGTTAGGATGGTGTCCTCTGTCTCCCGCCAGCCTGGCCTGTTCCATGTAGGTAGAGTTCAGGCTCACATACACACAGTGCCTGCTCTGCTGTGCTTCCCTCCTTCAGCTTTAATTCTGCTCTGGACAGGTACCACTTTCTGTCTTCCGCTCACACCTTTGTGTGCTTCTGTGTGTGCCTCAAAGTACCATCTTCCTCTTGTTCGTCATTGCCTCAATCTTGAGGCACGGTAATAGTCTGTGCTTTTAAAAACCCTTGTGTATGGGGACTGGAGTGGAGCTCAGTGGTACAGTGCTTGCCAGGCATGTGTAAGGCCCTGGCTTTGATCCCCAGCACTGAAAAACAATGCCTTGTATGTGAATTCTCTACTACATTCACCGTACGGTACTATTGTGCTCCATGTTTTCTCACCTCACCTAGACCAGTGGTGGTGAACCACATAGTGTTTTCAGTGAGGAGCCAGCAGCACACATGCCACAGGTTTGCCCCCTCTGCCCTAGACTGTGTCCCTGGAAGACTATAGCAAACAGTCTTGACAATCTTGCTTCCTGCTCAATGTGTTTCAATCATGTGCTCAATATATTTTTGTTAAATTAATACTAATAATGGTAACATTGTGTGCCAACTATAAGTAAACATTTTTTCATAGGTTATTTTATGTGCTATAATATTTCAAGGTTAAAGGAGATAGCATGGATATATTTTCTCCTTTATTATCAGTACCGGGGATTGAACTCACGACTGCCTGCTTGCAAGGCAGGTGCTTATGCTGCTGAGCTAAATCCCCAGCCCCCAATATATTTTCTCATACTTAACATATTCTTAATAAAACTGTGGCTTGTAGCTGGGCATGGTGACATGTTCCCATAATCCAACACTCTGGGAGGCTGAGGCAGGAGGATTGCCATGAGTTCAAGGCCAGCCTAGGCTATCTCAAATATAAGTAAGTAAATAAATAAATAAATAAAATTGTTAATTATCTTTGCCTAAATTTTAGGACACAGCCTTAGGTTACCTCCGAACTCCTCCTTGACTCCTCCTTTGTTTCTGTTTGTTCTTGCCTTCAGTTCTCACAGCTCCTTATTCAAAGTAGCAGATTCAAATGGTGAGCAAAGAGTCATCTCATTTCTGTTTTCTTAGGCTCAACACAGGCTGTGATGTGGCAGAAGGACCATAATAAATATTGAAAGAGGAGAAAAAGAGAGATGCTAACTTGTACTTTCTAAGTATTCAGGTGGCTGGAAAACTATGAAAACCCTAGGGCTTCTTACACCCTTCATTCATTTTCATCCTTTTATTCTTGCTTCAGGATGCGTGTGGTGTTTACAGCGAAGGTACTCCCTCCAGCCCATGCCCGAGAGGAGGGTTCCCCGCCGGTATTTGGGCCAGCCCAGCCCCTTCACACACCCTCATCTCCTCAGACCAGGTAATAGCTGACTTTCCTTTGCAGTGCTTTGTCTAGAACAGTGCTGAGTTAAAGTACTGTGTCCTAAAAGAAGTGTTTTAGAACCCTGCTGTCCTGTAGCTCCTCTAGCTATGTATAGCTGGGAGCCACCTGTAACTGTTATACGCTGATGTTGCTAGTGTGGTTGAGGAATTGGTTACTTTATATTATTTTAATTAATATAAATTTAAAGTTAAATAGCGACATTTGGCTACTGGTATTGAATTGATACCCAGTGTAGAACAATAAATATAATAAACCTTAAAATTCAAAATAACTACTGAAAGGTAAGTATTTCAGGATTTTTTAAAGAAAAGTTCTATTACTATAAAGGTAGGTAATAGTTTCCAGAACTATATTCTAACTATTGATTATGAACTACTTTGTTAGAAAACATTTTTTTTTTTTTTTTTTTTTTGTACCGGGGATCAAACTCATGACTGTACTCTTGCAAGGCAGGCATGCCTTTGCTGCTGAGCTAAATCCCCGGCTTAGAAGATATTTTTAAAAACATTGTCTTTGTGAAGATGTTAACTGTTTGTTTCAAAATTTTGTGTAAGAAAAATATTTCTATATAAAGTAAGATTTCCAGATCTGTTTGTCATCACTTTGAGTGGTGGCCATATCAGCTGATAAAGATTATATGAAAATTGACAAAGGTTTATTTATTTCATTAATTTTTTTCTGCTATAGAGTCTCGGGGTTGCTGCTAGAAACTACAACATTACTTTTGTTCAAATTAAAGCCCAAAGGTGTTTTTGTTTGTTTTTAAAAGCATACTTCATGGGCCAGGGATTTAGCTCAGTAGCATAAGTGCTTGCCTAGCAAGTAGAAGGTCATGAGTTTGATCCCTGTTACCAAAAAATAAATAAATAAATAAATAAAATAAAAATATACTTCAGAGATGAACAATGGGAAATGAATATCATCCCAAAGACATAGATTAGGGTCAAACCTATGCTTTAGACAGAAAAAAGTCAGGTTTCTGGGGAAAGCTGATTGATTATTCCCTCTGCCTCAAGAAGGTAAATTTGTTGTTTACTATCTAGGCATATTATTAACAATATAAATTGCCTTTAGAAATATATTGCTCTTTCACTGTCTCCACTCAGTGAGTGATACCAGTATGTGTCTCAGTGAGGGCTTCCTGTTGCTGATTCTTCATCAGACTGGAATTCCTGCTGGGAAGTCGGCTGAGACTCAGAAAATGCAACTCACCACTGAAACACACAAGAAATCAGAGTTTTTCAAAGCTGTAAGGTAAGCTATTAAGCAAGCCCAATTGTCATTGATTAAAGTATGTCTCTATCCTAAGAATATTTACTAGTAGTCTTTATTAAAGAAAGAAAACAAAGAATTAATACTATGTTTTACCAGCTTTGAAAATTATTGATTTCTTGTGGTGAGATACTTTTATATGGTGAGCTGCATTTTCTAAGCCTTGAACCTAGTAATCATATTGTGAAGATAATGGGCTGTGCTTATAGACTGCTTTGCTGATTGCTTTATGTGCATGTTGAATGTATTTTTTAAAAGAATGTAGGTAGTTAAAAAAAAAAAAAAAAGGAATGTAGGTAGTTAGGTGTGGTATAACATTCCTAAAAGGCTGAGAAAGAGGATCACAAAAAGGACATTCTATCTCAAGATGAAATTTTTAAAAGGGCTGAAATATAATTCATTGTGTATGGCCTAGGTTCAACCCCCAGTACCACAAAAAAAATGCAGATGAATATACACACGTGTTCGTGTGTGCATGTATATGACACTGGACACGAAGGCCTGTCTCAAATTCACTCTCTTAGATAAGAGAATTTGAATAAGAAAAGATAGATGTAGATGGGAGTTTTGAAGCAGACTACCAAGTGAACCTTTAAATATATGGGTTTTAGGAAAAAAGGTTCCAAAATAGTCTTTTGCCTTTCTCCATCTAGAAGTTTGGCAATATCAAAATGATTGTGAAAGGGAGAGCAGTATACATTTTAAGAAAAATTAACAGGCATATAATACATACCTTAAAAATCTTCTGCTCAAGTCAGTGTGTTACTTTGTAGTATAAAATTATTTCATCTGTTACTTGATTTACTTCAAAATAAAGGTTTTGCCAGGTGCTATGGCACACGCTTGTGATCCCAGCACCCAGGAGGCTAAGCCAGGATGATTGCTGAGAGTTGGAGGACAGCCTGAGCTACATAGCAAGACTATGTCTCAAAAAAAGAAAGGGCGGGAAGTAAAACAGTATTAAGATATGTTATATAATGGACTTCTATCCCTTTTGTCCATTAAGTTCTTTGTGTGTGTGTGTGTGTGTGTGTGTGTGTGTGTGTGTGCTGGGGATTGAACTCAGGACCTTGCGCTGCCCAGCAGGTGCTTGTGCTGCTGAGCTAAACCTCCACCCCTCCATTAAAGATGTGTTATGTACATGTACCAACTCTCCACTGTGTAATTATCATATACCAATTAAAAGGGGTGGGGTTATGTAATCCTTTCTATCAGGACTTGTCTCATATACCTAGAATCATTTCTTAGTTTTCTTTCATTTATAGCAGTGGACAGGTTTGTTGGGAAGATAACAAAATACCACTATATGATGTGAATTTAACAATGTTTTCTCTGTTTACCTTTTTGCCTCTGTCATGAAATACAGCAGCAGAGATAATAGTGATTGCTACATATAATACAGTCATACGTCAGAGCTATGTTCTAAGAAATGTACTGTTAAAACCCAATGTATTAATTATTCTAACTCTCCTACTAACCTGTTTTGAAACTGTCATTTTAATTTTTTTTTCCTCTTAAAAATTAAAAAAAATAGAAATACATTTTTAGGCAGTTTTGTCGTTATGCAAACATCATAGAATGTGCTTACAAACTAAGAATGCTGTGACTTGACCAGCTCATATAATCTTGGGACCAATATCATATGTACAGTCCGGTATTGACCAAAATGTCATTATGCACCATGTGGCATATATTTTAAATGATTCACAGATAAGTTCTAGAGTATGTTATAGACAGTAATTCCCAGATTGTCATTCCTTAAAAGTTTCAAAATCAAGGCCAGATGTGGTGGTGGGCACCAGTATTCCCAGGTACTGGAGAAGCTGAGGCAAGAATATTGAGAGTTCAAGGCTAACCTAGACAACCTAATAATATCCTGTGTCAAAAAAAAGCTTCAAGGGGCTGAGGATTTAGCTCAGTGGCATAAGCGCCTGCCTTGGAAGCAGGCAGTCGTGAGTTTGATCCCTGGTACCGATAAAAAACGAAACAGACAAAAAAAAAAACTTCAAAATCTATTATGTACCCTTCTTTCAATATTTTCATTATAGGATCCGGGGATTTAGCTCAGCGCCATAAGCGCCTGCCTGGCAAGCATGAGGTTGTGAGTTTGATCCCTGGTGCCAAAAAAAAAAAAACCATTTTCATTGTAGCTCTCCCACAGAGAAGAGGAGCATTTTTAAAAACTAAGTTGTAAAACATGGTTGATATTAATAATACCTGCGTCTTAAGCTGGGCATAGTAGTGCATGTCTGTCATCCCAGTACCTTTGAAGGCGGAGGCAGGAAGATCACCACAAATTTAAGGCCAGCTTGGGCTGTCTGGTAACATCGAGGCCAACTATATAGTGAGATCCTGTCTCAAAAAAATAAATCTGAAAGTTGAAGACCTTATTTTGGTAGTGATCAGATTTTCATACTGTTTAAAATATTAAAAATTTATGTTCAAGAAATGACAGAAATTAAAAAGGATTTGAATCTATACCTTTAGAGAAACTTCGTATTAGGCCCTGACAGATCTGCTGCATCAGAATCTCAAGGGCAGAGGACTTAAAACAGACTTCTCACTGTTTTCCCTTGTGCATCACTGACTGGGTACTTTCAGGATACTTTTTATAGACACATCTGATGGGTAGAGTAGTGGACTAAGGTTTCATGCTCCAAAACTGGTCATGGAAGGCACACCAGGACTCAAGGCTGAGGCAGGAGGATAGCCAGGAAGTGGAGGCCAGCCTGGGCTATATACGGAGTTCAAGGCTAGCCTGAACTGCATAGTGAGAACCTACCCGCCTATCCAAAAATAGTTTTGTATTCTATAGTTTTTTAACTCCAAGGTATACTTTTTGCACTAACATTGCACCACAAAATCTGTTTTTTTAAGTCACATATTCTCTTTTCTTGCCCCTGGTATAGCTATATATTTTTAAAACCCTGTATATCCATAATGACAATGTTTTTAGCTTATCTCCTGAGTTGAACTTTAATGCAGAACAAAAACTACACTGTCCACACACACACTTATATATACATTTATAGATGAATAAACCTATGCTCCTTACCTATATGTTGGCTGTCCATTTCAGGATACATTATACTGATGAGTAACACATAGAAAAAATTTTTTTGATACTGGGGAACAAGTCCAGGGTCATTAGACTTGAGTTACACCCCCAGTGGCTTTTTATGTTTTATTTTGCACAGTATCTCTAAATTGCCCAGACTGGCCTCAAATTTGTAGTGATCCTCCTACCTCGGCCCCCTGAGGACTGAGATAACAACATGTGCCACCACATCTGTTTGAAATAAAGATTAAGATTCACTTCCAAAAAAAAAAAAAAAAAAAAAGATTCACTTCCAGATATAAATAGGGAACCTTCTGAAGAACCAAGTGAACTGGGTATGGTAGCACACACCTATAATCCCAGCGTTTGGGAGGCTGAGGCAAGAGGACTGCTGTGAGTTCAAGGCCAGCCTAGGCTATGTGGTAAGTGCGAGTCCAGTCTGAGCAATACACTTAAGACTTCTGTCTAAAAAAAAGTACTAAGTAACAGTATAAAGCTCCTAAATAGCTTAAATAGCCACTTGAGACTCATGTTATATAACAAAGCCAGATTTTCCAGTGCATCTATACAGATAATTATTCTCAAGTGAATTGTGGATATCCGTGTTAATTTTACTCTTCCAAGGTTTTACCTGGTTTTGGGTTAT